AGTGGAAAAGAATATATGAACTGGATAATGTACTTTGTATAAGGATGTCACTAAATAACCCTCTGGACTGTGACATATGTAATTAACATTTTCATCACTCAAGAAAATGAGCCATGCTGGTACAGAGCAAGGATCTATCTAGTTTTGCTCTCTTTCAGACTCTGGCCATTGAATTGCCAAAAAATATCCCACAAGCAGGTCAGGTGTGCGGAAGCATCCTTTATCTTGCATCCCCCAACCTTTGAGGGAAATGGTAATATAGTTTTTGTAGTTTATCCTTTGTACATTAAGACATCTTAGAATGGGACAAGTAATCAGGTTTCTGGTTTATTTTATGTTCTGTTTATATAAGCAATATTTTCTCATGAACATTCAATCATTTCAACAACATTTCAAATAGAATGAATGAATCTGTTTTTATTATCAACAGGACATAAAGTCTTCAGATATCTCAGTGTCACAGAACTTGAGATATTTAACAGGCTTTTTCTTTCAGTTGCTCTTACGGAATTTTCAAGTGCTTCTTATGTTGAGTGTATAAAGACTGCACTCTATTGTTAATTAGTAAACGAAAAAACAGACCTTTAACACTGCAGATTAAACCAGTTTAAAATAACTGTAAATAGTTGTTTATATCAAAAACCAGTTTACAAATGCCTTCCTCCTACACATCGTTGTAAACCAGGAAATACAGACCTGTTCTTCCAAAATACTTTGACGGCTGCGAATTTTTTCTTCCCCATGATATGGACTTTTCCCCATGGTGAACAAAATGAATGTGCTTCTATTAATTACTTTAGAGGAAAGAAAGGAAACAAAATCAGCAGGAGGAATGGCCTGTAAATCAGTTTGTGTGCGTTTTAAGACTGGCATAACTAAAAGTTAGATGCTAAAAGCTATAACCAGGTACGTGACAGCTTCTGCTACTGCACTGTATTTCTATCAGAGCTAGAATTATATTGCTTAATCCCACTGGCACAATTGTTAAAAGCTTTTGTCAACATGTTAATTGATCCAATGGGCCTATATAAAAGAAGAAATGGATTGAGACCACAGTTCAACTTAGCAACCGGTTCTGAGTGTATTCTATACCAATAATCTATCAAAAATGGGGGAAAGTACTGTTTTGTACCACTGCATCCCATTCTACACTTGCCACTCCAATTACCCAACAAACATAGAAAGTGCCCACGTTGGCTGGGAGAATATAGAAGTTGTGTTCTTGGAAAGTACATTTTCTAGGTTCTGCCCTTTCTTCTTCAATAGTTTCTGTTTTGTATAGGGGAGACTACCTTGCTTGTTACTAAGAAATTGCATTTTTCCCATTTCTCTGCTTATCCGTCCTAAATCTGTTCTGTATTTACTTGGCATAGGGCTACGTGCAGTGGAAAGAAGGAAGATTCGTCCAGGAGTGTTATGTCCGCTCCTTAATTTTTGTTCAGAGTGAGAAATAGAAATGAGACATTTTCAAACAAATGGGGAGAAAAGGATGGTGAGAGACTGGCCATGGGTTTTTTTTTATATATACAGAATATATTCTCTTGGCTGTTAATTGTGTTCAAGAGTAACGATCATCATATGGATACATAATGCAATTATATCACTATGCCCTTTAGTTGCTGTGATGCTGAAGCTGAGGACAAATGGGGAAGTATTGGTGCCCTGCCTATATTTATAGATACTTCTGATCAGAAGGCTGACTAGTTCTTTCCTGGATGATTCAGAGTGGGACTGGAATGCTAAAACTGGAATGCCACACAACTCTCGTTTCTTATCTACTACTAGTTAATGCATTTTCATAAGATGAACTAGCACTGCTGAGAAAAATGACTTAATCGAAGAATGTCAGCACATCAGCAAAATCCAAAATGCCATAATTCAATTTCACTTCTTTTAATTTCATACAAATCTCCCAATTCACAACTATATTCCCAGCCAGCTACAGATACTAAAACAGTACTGTGCCAGCTAAAAATCCAACTAGAGTACTAATCAAAACAGCTAAAAAGCTTTGACTGAAGCATTCAAAAGCAGCATCTGATCAAAGAATGCTCTGAAGTTTAATTGACAAATAAATAAATAAATAAATAAATGGAGGCAAACTTTTGGTTCAGTTTATCCTGAAAATAATAAACTATTTTCCTTTCCGGATTTTGTTTTATGTTTCTTCATCTTCAGCCAGTTTTTTACCCATCCCAATCAATGAGCCAGCTTTGATAATTCTGTGACTACAATATATTGTATCTGTTTTCCTTGTATTACAAGAGAACATGTAATCTGCAGATGGTGAACTGCAATTCTTATACGCATTAGCCAGAAGAGAAAGCAGTGAGATGGATGCTATTTTTTTAAAACCAATGTCAGTATCATTCATTACACAAATGACAACTAAGCACTTTGCTGCCTCCTCTATAGCATATACATATGAGATCTGGTGTCATGATAATCCTAAAACAGAACTTAGAAATGTTGCAGAAAAGGGCAACTAATACTATCATGGGCCTGGAGCACCTTTCTGCACAAGAAAAAAATGTTTGAATTGTTAAGAATTTGAAAATATAGACAAAATGTAATATGGGGCAACTGTGGTTTATGAAAGCCTATACCATCTTGAGAAAATATTGTTTGTTTTCATATTCTTAGGTCATCTACTGAAATATAGTTTCAAAATAAAATGTTTATCAAATGATGCATGCAGATCCAACTAAGGTAGCTTTTTGCAGCTAACAGATGGTAATTCTGTCAGTTCTGATTGTTTTAAGTGCAGGCCAAGGTCTTTAGGCACTGCACCCAGTGTGTTGATGACCACTGGGATCACCTTTACTGGCTTGTGCCAGTCTTCACAGTTCAATCTTTAAATCCTCATATCGTGTAAGCTTTTCCAGTTGATTCTTGTGAATCCTGCTGTTGCCTGGGATTGCAACATCGATGACCCATACTTGTTTGTGAGATCAGGAGTATTGTGCTTCAAAACTCTATCAGTCTGAATTCAGAAGTCCCAGAGTAGTTTGATGGTTTCATTTCCCATAACCTTTTCAGGTGTGTGATCCTACCAGTTCTTTAGTCTCCAGTAGATCGTTGTTGTTTATTCGTTCAGTCTCTTCCAATTCTTCGTGACCTCATGGACCAGCCCACGCCAGCGATTCCGTCGGCCTTCACCAACCCCAGCTTCTTCAGAGTCAAGCCAGTCACTTCAAGGATGCCATCCATCCATCTTGCCCTTGGTCGGCCCCTCTTCCTTTTTCTCCTTTTCCCCCAGCATCATTGTCTTCTCTAAGCTTTCCTGTCTTCTCATGATGTGGCCAAAGTACTTCATATTTGCCTCTAATATCCTTCCCTCCAGTGAACAGTCAGGCCTTATTTCCTGAAGTATGGACTGGTTGGATCTTCTTGCAGTCCAAGGCACTCTCAGAACTTTCCTCCAACACCACAGTTCAAGAGCATCTATCTGGAAAATAGAGGGAGAAAATGTGGAGGCCGTGACAGACTTTGCATTTCTAGGCGCAAAGATTACTGCAGATGCAGACTGTGGCCAGAAGACGCTTACTTCTTGGGAGGAGAAGCAATGTCCAGTCTCGATAAAATAGTAAAGAGTAGAGACATCAGACTGGCAACAAAGATCCGCCTAGTCAAAGCCATGGTATTCCCTGTAGTAACATACGGATGTGAGAGCTGGACCTTAGGGAAGGCTGAGCGAAGGAAGATCGATGCTTTTGAACTGTGGTGTTGGAGGAAAGTTCTGAGAGTGCCTTGGACTGCGAGAAGATCCAACCAGTCCATCCTCCAGGAAATAAAGCCCGGCTGCTCATTGGAGGGAAGGATACTAGAGACAAAGTTGAAGTACAGTTAGTCAAAATGAATAGGCCAATAAGAAAATTAATTTTAGACGAATGTATGTTTATTGTAAGCAAACTACAGCTACGTAGCGACAGATAAACTATCAAAGTTTTGTCTCACCTTCAGAGATGTTCGATATGGGCGCCCCGTGTGACACGGCAGATGTCCAAGCGATAGTCCAGTTCATTCCACATCCGTTGCAGCACATCCGACGTAATGGCATCGAATGCAGCAACGTCTGTGAAGGTGTTCGTTGAGGTCCTAACCCTAACCCTAACCCTAACCCTAACCCTAACCCTAACCCTTGAAATTCTCGCTGGACCGTAATTACTGACATTGTTTTAGCAAATGTCATCACACAAAACGCCTTCTCTTTGCTTGATTCCGCCATTTTGAAAACAGCGACCCTAGCGACGCCTAGCGGCATTAACGTACATGTGTGTTGCTCAAAAAAAACTTTGATAGTTTATCTGTCGCTACGTAGCTGTGGTTTGGTTACAGTAAACATACATTCGTCTAAAATTAATTTTCTTATTGGCCTATTCATTTTGACTAACCCTGTATTAGGACTTAACACAAGACAGGAAAGCTTAGAGAAGACAATTATGCTGGGGAAAATGGAAGGAAAAGGAAGAGGGGCCGACCAAGGGCAAGATGGATGGATGGCATCCTTGAAGTGACTGGATAGACCTTGAAGGAGCTGGGGGTGGTGACGGCCGACAGGGAGCTCTGGTGTGGACTGGTCCATGAGGTCACGAAGAGTCGGAGACGACTGAACGAATGAACAACAACATAAACAAGCACCTTGGTATCCCTATGGATGTCCCGGTCCTCAAACACTCTGTGCTTCAATCAGAAAAATGCTGCACTCGCAGAGCTCAGGTGGTGTTGAATTTCAGTGTCAGTGCTGACACTGAAATACAATACATACACACACAGATACACATCCCACCACACACACAAACATGTTGGAGAAAACTGCCCATCTGAAAGCATCACTGGCTGATAGGGGTTTTGGTCCAGTCCTTGAAAAGGCCCACCTATAGCAGGAGGTTGTGGAGAGAAGATAAGGAAGGCTCACCGTCGCACATGCGCAGAAGACGCTTAACCTGACCCTTAGGTAGACCATTCAAAAGGCTGTTCCCTTCCCCCGTTACTACTCCCCCCTCCGTCGCCATGACGACGCGCCTGGCTCTTCTCCCTTCTCTTCCCCTTCCCTTCTTCCCCCGCCGTGCGTGCGGCACGGTGACACTCGCTCCGCCTCCGCCATGGGCTCGCTTTGCGCAAGCGCAACCGGGCCTTGAAGCGGCGGCGGCTGAGGGGACGGAAAGAGGGAGGGAGGGGCGGCGAGAGGAGAACGTGAGCGTAGGCCGCGCGAGGCGGGGCCGGGGTCACGACCTCTGACCTCCCGCCGCCGTCAAATAAGCCCTGAGGAGGCTGCGGATGCGTCGCGCCTGTCAGGTCAGTCGGGGGCGGGGGAACGGGAGGAGGAGGAGGAGGAGGAGGAGGAGGAAGGAAGGAGCTCGGACGGGCGGGCGGGCGAGGCCTTCCCAGGCCCTTCCTGCCTTCCTTGAGGGAGCCTCCCGAAAATGGAAGGAGAGGAGGAAGGGCGTCCTGGGCGCCGTGCTCCGCTCAGCCTCGCAATGGCAGCCGAGCAGCCGCCGCCCCCCTGACCTTTCACCCACAGGAAAGGCTTGCGTCTCCCCTCCCCGGATCCAGGCCGCGCCCCGAGGCCCGCGCCTCTCTCTTCGCAGCCCGGCCGGGCTTCCTGGGGAGGGAGGGGCGCCGGAGGGCCCGACAGCAGCCATGTTGGGGCCCCTGGGTGACAGCCGAAAAACGGGAGGGAGGGAGGAAGCAAGCCAGCCTTTGCTGCTTTGCTCCCAAGCTGCACACAAAGAGAATCTCGTGAATACATTGCTCTGTTTTCGCCGTGTACCCTTAGATAATTTATTTATCGTGTCAGGAGCGAACCAAACGGTTGTATTAAAAACAAAGTTTGCAAACTTGGCATTCTATTAAATGTCCTTTTTCAGTAGCTGGCCACATGGCGTGCCTCTGGTGATGCTATAAGAAGGTCTTCCATTGTGCATGTGGCAGGGCTCAGGTTAATAATAATAATAAAGCTGACACGATATGAGGATATCAAGATCGAACTGCAAACACTCTGGCACAAACCAGTAAAGGTGGTCCCAGTGGTGACTGGCACAAACCAGTAAAGGTGGTCCCAGTGGTGACTGGCACACTGGGTGCAGTGCTTAAAGACCTTGGCCTGCACTTAAAACACAGTTGGCGCTAACAGGATTACCATCTGCCAGCTGCAAAAGACAACCTTACTGGGATCTGCACACATTATTTGCCAATTCGCACAGCCCTAGACACTTGAGAACTGTCCAATGTGTGATCCAATACAACAGCCAGCAGAGTGATCATTTTTGCTGTGGACTCATCTAAAAATAATAATAATAATAAGTTTGTATTATTCCCCCCCCCCCTTTGTGGGAAAGCTTGATTTTACAATCCTCCTTTTAATAAGCTCCCCTCCGCAAATAACCTGCTTCTCCTTTTATCTCACCCCTGTGTTTAATCAGTTTTTTAATCACTTTTTTGCACATGTAGCCGCCCATTGTCACTGTGACTGTGTTTATTGTAATCTTATATCATTAATGTATTCATATGTTTTATGTAATTATGATGTTGTTGTTTGTTGCATGTGTTTTTGGTTTTAATTTGTTGATTGGGCTTGACCTCATGTAAGCCACCCCAAGTCCCCATTGGTAAATAAAGTTTATTATTATTATTATTATTATTATTATTATTATTATTAATTGATGTTGTCATACGGGGTGACAGTCGAATTGAGGAAAAACAACAGGAAAAACTTAGCCATTATCAGGACCTCAAAATGGAACTGCAAAGGCTCTGGCATAAACCCTCACAGGTGGTCCCAGTAGTCATCGGCACACTGGCTGCCATGCCAAAAGATCTCAGCCAGCATTTGGAAACAATAAATATTGACAAAATCACAATCTATCAACTGCAAAAGGCCACCTTAGTTGGATCTGCACACATCATTCGAAAATACATCACAGTCCTAGACGCTTGGGAAGTGTTCTACTTGTGATTTTGTGATACAAAATCCAGCATATAGATCTCATTTGCTGTGACATACTGTGATTTTGTGTCAGTAAAATAATAATAATAATATTTATGTATACCCCGCCACCATCTCCCCAAAGGCGACTCGGGGCGGCTAACATGAGACCAAGCCCAGAATTACAGTACAACAAAATAAAATAAAATACAAACAGCAAATAATAACATCAAAATAAAATACAGAAAATAACAGAAAATGCAATAAACAGATGCAAAATAACACGATGAAGAAATAAAATAGTAAGTGGTCTGTGGTTTGCTCATCTCCATGCTCACATGTTGTGGATTCCACTTTGTAGCCCCATTTCTTAAGGTTTGCTCTGCATCTCATGGTGTCAGAGCACAGTCTGTTCAGCGCCTTCCAGTTTTCTGTGTGCCCAGGAGGGAGTCTCTCATTTGGTATCAGTCATTGATTGAGGTTCTGGGTTTTAGCCTGACACTTTTGGACTTTAGCTTGCTGAAGTGTTCCATCGAGTGTCTCTGTAGATCTTAGAAAACTATTTCTTGATTTAAAACTATTTCCTCAGAAGCAACCCTTAGATAATAAGAATATATTTATTATATCCCACTTTTCTCCCTGAATGGGACTTGAAAGCGGCTCACAACAATTTAGAAACAGTACAAACAGCAAACACATATAACAATAAAACCAGTTTCTATAAGAATGACATAAATAACCATTCAAAAACCATTTAACAATTACAGTAGAGTCTCGCTTATCCAACATAAACGGGCCACAGAATGTTGGATAAGCGGAAATGTTGGTTAATAAGGAGGCATTAAGGAAAAGCCTATTAAATGTCAAATTACGTTATGATTTTACAAATTAAGCACAAAAACATGTTTTACAACAAAGCGACAGAAAAAGCAGTTCAATACATGATCACGTTATGTAGCAATTACTGTATTTACAAATTTAGTACCAAAACAGACGGGTTCTTTCTGTCTCCCACTCTGGACATTATTCCACAGCTAAACATACACTCCACTTCCCTCATCTGTAGATTCAGGCGGGAGGCAGACTGCGTTGGATAACACAGAACATTGGATAAGCAAGACTCTACTGTCAGTTCACACAACTCACTGCAAGTTAGCCTTCTTGTCATTTCAGATAAAGATTTCTTCATTAAATGCTTGCTTGGACAAGAAGGTCTTTAGCTGTTTTTTAAAAGATGTCATGGAAGGGGCTGTTTTAATCTCCTTGGGGAGGGAGTTCCAGAGGGTCGGAGCAGCCACTGAAAAGGCCCTCTCTCATCGCCACCAACCGCATTAGCAACAATAGTGAGAGAAGGGCCAGTTAGGCAGATCTTAATACTCAGGCGGGGTTGGTATGAGGAGATGCAGTCAGATAGGTAATTTTGACCTGAACCCTTAGGATTTTAAAGATCAAAACCAGCACCTTGAATCAGGACCGGAAATATATTGGCAGCCAGTGTAGGTGCAGCAGGGGGGTGGTATGCTCCCTGGGTCCAGCACCTGTGAGCAACCTGACTGCAGATCTTTAGACTAGTTGAAGTTTCTGGACACTCTACAGGGGTAGTCCCACGTAGAGCCCATTACCAGTAATCTAGGTGGGATGTAACGAAGGAATGGACCACTATGGCCAATTCTGGCTTCTTAAGGTGCAGTGTTTCTTCATATATATATCCACCTGCACACCTTCCCCGGTTTCATATATATAGAAAAATTCAGTGGTTCACAAAGAAAACAGTGCAATACAGACATGGCTCATAGCAATGTACAGTGGGCCCTTGGTAGCATAATAATAATAATAATAATAATAATAATAATAATAATAATAATAATTTTTATTACCCACCTCTCCTGATAACTCGAATCGAAGTACAGCAAAGTTAAAACATGTGGACGTAAAATATATACAATAAATTACATAGATGAGAACACAAAAATATATTTAAAAACTTGCACCAAACTCAGATACAAAATTGACATAGCAATAGAATGTAAATCAGAACTCATGACTGAGGCCCCTTTCACACAGCTGTACAAAAGCCACATTGAACTGGATTATATGACAGTGTGGACTTATATAACCCAGTTCAAAGCAGCTATTGTGGGGTATATGCCTTGATATTCTGGATTATATGGCTGTGTGTAAGGGCCCTGAGAGTTGTTTGGATAGTTCTGCTGGAAGAGTTAGGTCTTCAATTGCATTTTATATTCTGACATCTCATTTAGCTGTTGGAAGTTCTTTTGGCAGGTCGTTCCACAGTCTTCTTGGGGCAGCTGATGAAAGGTTCTCTGGCCAGCCAGTGCAGTGACTTTGGGATACATGTCATAGTTTCACTCCTGGATGTTCCCGGAACCAATCAGGCTGCCGTTTTTTGAACCAACTGGAGTTTCCTAACTTGATACAAAAGTAGCCCAATATAAAGCGCATTGTACAAGTCCAGGCTTGAGCTTAGCAGCACATGCGCTACCATCTTTAGGTCCCCAGATTCTTGGAAGTCTTATCAGCCAAAGCTGATAGTAAGCACACCTGACTGTCACATCAACATCTCTGGTATTTAGAGACTGATTCAGGAGCACTCCCAAACTACAAATTCTGATGTCAGTTTCTATGTCTTTTCACGTAAAAAATATTGATTAAATATTCACAACGTCAAGACTTTGTCACATCCACTACGTAAATGTAAATTGCAATGTAAATTGGCGGAAAGCTGGATAATGATAGTGTGAATAAATCTTCAAAATTTTGTTGAGATAATGCTTGCAGTTCTGGAGGAACTCTTAATTTTTGCTTCTCAAAGGCATAGCATGGAGATTTGGTTAAAGTTCACAAGTAAATTGTTTCGTGACATTTTTACATTGAAAACATACTTGAAATTATTTACTAAGTCCCAGAAAATAATACAATCCATTCAGTTACTTTATCATAAACATTTGTGGTTTGCTCATATTTCCCCTAAAGCTCAAAGTAACCATTGTGTATTATCTCTAAAACCCTTGTTTAAAACGATGTCTGGTGATTTAGGCATGATAGCAGACCTTACTTTGACCATTTTAGTACATAGCATAATTGTAACTCATCTCTGTCCTGGAAATATGTTTATCTTCTCATCCACACTCTATTTAAATTGAGTTAATGACATCAAAACCTGACTTGGGTTCTGTTTTATTCTTGAATGTTGATAGTAATATTTTCTAGAAAATATTTACATTTCTATAGTTTTATAAAAAGTCTACTGGACCACAAAGGGTGTGTACTACTCTCAAATTGTGATTTGTTTTGGGGTGCATATCCTACTAATCCAAAGCAATTTCAGCTGGATCTGCAATTAAACTTGTTTCCCCAATAATAAGTATTGTAACGATTGCTTCCCTGCATTTCATTATCTTCTACTGGCAGCAGTTCTTGTAATATGCTGAGTAGCGCCCCTTACATAGCAAAAATCCATCATGTTGTGACTCTATTTCTTGGTTGATTCCTTGAAAGTAGTACTAGAAATTGCTAATCATTACATGCCAAAGAAGACAAATGTCTTCACATTCTCTTTGTTTAAGCAGATCATTGCAGACATACCTGAATTCATGAGGGCCCTAATAAAGGAGCCCCTTCTTGTCTTCTGTCAAGTTGGAACAATTTTTGGGGAGGGGCTCACTTAGCAGCATCGTACAGAGGTTTTAAGTGATAAGCTGCAGCAGTGTGTAGTAAAAAATGCAATAAAGCTAGAGCTGGAGGAGACTGATTCTTCTCTAGGGAAATCATCACATGGAGGTCAAGAAGCCAGGTGGCAGTGGGGGAAACCATGGCTTCAACCCCTTACTGTTGGTGGTTGTGGGATCCCATCCCACAACGTTTCTGTGCTGTCCAGAGTTTTGTCCCACATCCTCCCCAACTTCTTGTATGAGGAGTCGGCTGTCCTCCTCTGTTCTTTGCTTCTCGGTGCTGCTGTCACAGAGCCCTAATAGAAGTAGCCCTGCAGATTCTGCTGTCAGCGTTAAGAAGCGGATAAATCAATCCATATGATGTGGTCATATGTGATGTTATTGCAGCTATAAGTCCTTATGTACAGAAGGCAAGAGAAATAGTTGCCTAGAGCAATGTTTCTCAAACTGCTCCCCCAGGTGTTTTGAACTTCAACTCCCAGAAATCCCAGCCAGCTTATCTTCTGGTAGGAATTGTGGGAGTTGAAGTCCAAAACATCTGGAGGAGCACAGTTTGAGAAACTCTGGCCTAGAGAATAAGTTAACATTTGTGGACAGCAAGACAGAAAGGAAGGGGAAAATAGATAAATCTATCTTACTAGCTATCCTTACATGTTGAAAAAACATCCATGTATAAGTATAACTAACAAAATCATAAGACAAGTGGTGTGCCCTAAATAAAAATTCATCCTGGGATGCATTTTGGAGGAAGCTTTCAAAATTCAAAATGTTTTTGCATAATTATTCAAGGTCTACTTGAACTGGTTATTTAATTTCAAATCTGCATTCTGTTAGGTTTGAATAAAAAGCTTTCTGAAACATGTTGAATTGCTGTTTTTTGTTTTTTTTGTGGAGTAGGAACTAATCCCTATTCTTTCCACATGTTCCAACCAAAGTTTATGTCAAAGAAGTAATGCTCAGGAACACATCTGCATTGTTAATTTAAATATACCTATATATTGTTGAAGTCATTATAGAAATGGGTAGTCTCACCACTGTATTGGCGTTGTGCTGAAGGGCTGCCATTTGCCACTTGGTCAGCATTAACCGCAGTGGATTATAAAGTCTCCAGCAACAAGCTGTAATATACATCAGAGTCAGAAATTCATAACCTGTGGCTCTCCAGATGTGGTTGAACTTCACCACCATCATTCGTAGTCAACATGGGCAGGGGTTTGGGATGATGGACGACAGAGACTAGGAGCCAATGCTTCAGAGAATATCACTTATATAGGAAACACTATTTGAAGTAGCACTAACATTATTTACTTTATTTATATACCGCTTTTCTCAGCCCTCAGGCGACTCAAAGCGGTGAACATAGTCCATCAAGTAGATTTCAATCCCAGAATTGTTTATTAGTTGGGAATTTAAGTCAATAGGAATGGTATATCTGTTCACTGAACTCCTACAAACTATTTAGATGAAGATTAGGAAGTGTAAAAGGAGACCAGAGAAGAGAAAGGTCAAAGGCAAACCAGAAAAAGGGAAAGGTGAAGCTAACCAAGTAGTATGAAGAAACCTTTCCATCAAGCCTGTGGGGGTTGGGTGGGAAACACTTGGCAAAACTTTTCTGTAGGGAGCATTGATATATTCTGATGCAACTTCAGAAGAAAGTGCTTAGGCTACTATGATTGAGAGTTATGGTAATTTAAATCCATAAGATGATTTTGACTCGGTTTGAATACATCCATCTTCTACTGTATGTCATTTATTCCCATTTCAAAGTGGAGCCCTATCCCTACCAGTAAGCATTGAAAATGTTTTTATCTCATATTCAGGCATCTTCCAGAATTTCTAGAATGAGTGTGCTGCCCTTACCATCATTGATTGCCTTTTAAAAAATCAAAATTATAGAATAGTAATAAGAGAGTGGAATACTAGACCAATACTTTCCCCTTGGATCACTTCTTCTTCTTAGTCAAAGAAATTTCCCCAACAACTAAGGCTCCTTCCACACAGCTGAATAAAATCTGACATTATCTGATTGAATTGGAATATATGGCAGTGTGGACTCAGATAACTCAGTTCAAAGCAGATATTCTGGGTTATATGGCAGTGTGGAAGGCCCCTTCTATGTTGCCAGTTGTGCTTTAAACTGGATTATATGACAGTGTAGACTCATATAATCTAGTTCAAAGCAGATAATGTTGATTGTATGCTTTTATAATCTTGATTATATGGCAGTGTAGAAGGGGCCTTGGATTGCCTAAAGTCCCACAGATGTAGTTTTAAGGTGGCTATCCCTGGTACAGATAAAGTTCTTCATTTTCTGGATATAACTGCCACATTTAATATATATGTTGATTTTTTTAAAGAATCACTGAAAAAGTTTTCACACCAGAGAATTAACTCTTCTATCAATGTAGGACTATTGGTAATATGTTTCAGGGGAAGACAATTATAAGTTATTTTCACTATGTAAATATTTTTGAAAGGTAAACAGTCCTTCTTTATTGATTCATAGGAGCATCCAAAAAGTGATTATGCATACAGGAAGCTGAATATAACATTTACATCTTGGGTAAGCATATTGTAACATTTCAAATATTATTAATAGCATTAGGATATTTTAAAATTTGAAATATATTATTTTCATTTGTTTTATATTGAGTGTGTTCTCTAATAGATGGTGGTTTCAAGTTGCCCTAAAATGATTTTTTCCAATTTTGGCATTTGGCATATTCAGTTAGAAATCAGGATATGCAGATACGCTACGTTTACAGCATTCTCTTCACCATTTTTACAAGTTTCATAATTTTATATATAAAAAAGAAAGACAGTTTAGCATGCCTTTTTTTTTTTTTTTACAGAAATCCAAACTTGTCATCACAGCAGCTTAATGATCTGCTCTAGGATCTTTCCTGGTATAAATGTCAGGAAGACTGGGTCCCCTTTCCCCCCATTTTGAGAATGGAAATAGCATTTGTTCTCTTCCAGTCTACTGTGGTCCCTCCTACATCTGCTTTGAACTGTATTATATGAGTCTACACTGCCATATAATCCAGTTCAAAGCAGATAATCTGGGTTTTATATGGCAGAGTAGAAGGGATGTGGAATTTCTCTTGTTCTCCAGGAATTTTTCAAAGATTTTTGCCATTGGTTCTGAGATTACTTCTTCCAGTTCTGTTGATGTTCTTGGATGTAGTTCATCTGACCCTAGAAACTATGACCTCAGGCTCTTCTACTTCTATGTGTTACATTCCTCCAAACATCTGTGTCCTGTGTTTGGGACCTGACTTCATCAGAGATGTGCCATGAGTTCCTCATCCAGTCAAAGGGGTATAATATTGGAACATAATAGCTATAGCCAAATTGTGGTATCTTGAATATAGTAGAACGTGATTTATGAGCAGAGTTGCTCTACAGTTATATGGTATAGCAGAAAACATTCTGACAGCAGTCCCAGTTTTCAAAGCTATGTTATAGGATAATCAATAAAATCTTGACTTCCATTACTTAATTTTCTTCTAACTCTTTCTGTTTTATTATTCACATTTAATCATTTCTCTCTGTAATAGGAATTCCTGTGACTCAAGATCATGGCCACAATTGAGGAACTGGCCCATCAAATTATTGAACAGCAAATGGGAGAGGTATGTAAATACTTTTTAGGAGAATTATATGTGTTTTAAAACTGATTCATTCTAAGTATCTCTTGTCTGGAAATCCAAAATCTGAAGGAGGCCAACATTTGCTGAGATGGATGGTTGAAATAGTGACATCTTTTATTTCTGATGATTCATTATATAAGTTATATTTTAAACATAGAACTGAATTGGATATAATGCAGTCAACTGTTAAGAACTCACTGGGTTTTGTTTTGTTTTTTGGAGGGGGGGGGATAATTAGGAGCAACATCTCGTAGTGCAGTGTTTCTCAACCTATGGGTCCCCAGGTGTTTTGGCCTACAACTCCCAGAAATCCCAACCTAACAGTTTACCAGCTGTTAGGATTTCTGGGAGTTGAAGGCCAAAACATCTGGGGGCCCACATATTGAGAACGACTGTTGTAGTATTTTCAAAGCTTTGTTTTCAGTATGTATTACTTTTTTCCACACACACACACATATATAAACTAAGTTTCAGTGTTATCACTCAGTATTAGCTAACTGATGGTTATTTTGTTTCACCAGCCCATTAACTCTGTGGGATTGGTAAATAAAAAATGTCATTCTGGGGCAGGGGAAGAACACATTTATTACCAAAGGAAGCATTTCCTAGACCTTCTCTCTTCATTAGCCATCTTGCCGTGTGCCCTTTTAGAGCAGTGGTTCTCAGCCTCTGGGTCCCCAGGTGTTTTGGCCTATAACTCCCAGAAATTCCAGCTAGTTTACTAGCTGTTAGGATTTCTGGGAGTTGAAGGCCAATATATTGGGACCTGCAGATTGAGAACCATTGTTTTAAAGCAACAGTACTTTGAAAAAATACAACAACATTGGATTCATTTAGAGCAGGACAGGCCATCATGGGATGCAGCATTAATTATATCTCACCTGTGTAATTTGTAAGCCAGAAAGATCTGTAGGACCAGCCATAGTGGCCCGCCCTAGATTGACTGAGTTAATATGTCTGTTTTTTGTAGCAGATGACTCAATCTCAAGGATCTGCCAACCAAACACTAATGGATGGAACAGCACAAAGAATCCAAATTGTCCCTGGAGATGCAGGTGTCTCCCTACCACAGCGGATACAGGTACATTTTGTTTAACTAATTGAAAAGTATTTGTTAAATAACAGAATTCAGAGAGAAAATCAATTCAGCTATGTTGTTAAGTCAAAATGCATTTAAATGCACTGAAAACATATAATGAATACTTTATAAATAGTATAGTAAATTGTGTTGATTGACAAACCCTTGTTGCTGTTGTTTTGTGCCTTTAGATTGTTTCCATGGTAGCACAAAGGCCTCTTCTACACTGCCATATAAAATCTAGATTATCTGCTTTGAACTGTATTATATAGCAGCATAGTCTCATATAATCCAGTTCAAAGCAGATAATGTAGATTATCTGCTTTGATAATGTGGATTGTATGTCAGCGTAGATAGGGCCTAATACTAACCTGTCATAAGGGTTTTTTTCCCCCAAGATTTGTGTGTGTTGGGGGGGGGGGGGGGGGTTTCCTTTAGCTTAATGTGAGGCTGAGAAAGTGTAATTTGCCCAAGGTCATCAAGGGTCCTTCCAGACAGGCCCTTTATCCCAGGATCTGGTTTTCTGCTTTTAAATGGATTATATGAGACCACACTGCCAGATAATCTGGGATAAACACAAAACCTGGGATCCTGTCTGGAAGGGCCCCCAGTTGATTTCTCTTTGCTGAGAAAGGAGTAGAACTCTGGTCTTCCTCCATAGACTTCTGAAAATGGACAATATGTAAAACTTAGCTCATTACTATTCCATAACTACTTGGATTCATCCTAAATATACTTCCTGGCTACTTTTGAAGGATTAATGAACAGGATGAACACACTTAAACAATTTTCCTACTTATTGTAAAAATGTATACATACTTATAACATGATCAGATTATGTCCACTTTGTTGTACTTCCCAGTACAAGCAGTTCCCATGGTATGAACCAGATAGGTTCTGTAGGTTTGTTTTTAAGTTGAATTTGTATGTAAGTCATAAAATTATAACTCTTTTAGGAGTGAATTTCCCCTCCTAGGGGTAGATTTATCTCACTTCCTGTTGTCTCACCCTGTTCTTAACTATGAGTCATTGTAAATCAGACGTTTGTAACTCAGGCACTACCTGTATATACCTATTGAGGTCTGATCAGTGTTACACTAGAATCTCGCTTATCCAACCTTCGCTCATCCAACATTCTGTATTATCCAACACAGTCTGCTTCCTGCCTGGGATAATGTCCAGGGTGGGAGAAAGAAAGAACCCTTGTCTGTTTTGGTGCTAAATTCATAAATACCATAATTACTACATAATGTTACTGTGTATTGAACTGCTTTTTCTGTCGATTTGTTATAAAATATGATGTTTTGGTGCTTAATTTGTAAAATCATAATGCAATTTGATGTTTAATAGGCTTTTTCTTAATACCTCATTATCCAACATTTTCAGTTATCCAACATTCTGCCAGCCCATTTATGTTGGATAAGCAAGATTCTACTATAGTAACAAAAATATGTCCATCATCTTAGAACCAACAGGGCAAGCCAATTTAAATAAACAAGAGTAAAGTTACTTTAGATTGTAAGTATCATTTATTTGAATGAATCTAGTCCAAATATGCTTAATTTACACTGGGGTGACTATAACAGACACTAAGGAATAATCCAATGGGATCTTGGTCTTCATAAATAAATAGGAGTATAGTGTCTGGATCCAGGGAAGTCATGCTACCCCTCATTTCTGCCTTGATCAGACCACACTGGAATAAGAATAAATTCTGGGAATTTATGATGTTGTGTTGATTGTTTATTGTCTACTCATATGATTTGTTTTGCACTTGTTGTATTTTGCATGTCACGCCTTGAGTGTGACATGCTCTGCCAGCCCATAAATGGGCTGGCAGAATGTTGGATGTGAGCCACCCTCAGTCCCTATGGGAGATGGTGGCAGGCTGTAAATAAAAGTTTGTTATTATTATGTTATTAATTCTGGGCACCGCAACTTAAGGGGGATGTTGACAAGCTGGAATGTGTCCAGAGGAGGGCAACTAAAATGATCAAGGATCTGGAGGACAAGCCCTATGATAAGCTGCTTAAAGATCTGGGCATGTTTAGCTTGCAGGAGAGAAGGCTGAGAGGTGACATGGTAGCCATGTATAAATATATGAGGGGAAGTCATGGGGAGGAAGGAGCAAGCTTGTTTTCTGCTGCCCTGGAGACTAGGACATGGAACAATGGCTTCAAACTACAGGAAAGGAGATTCCACCTGAACATTAGGAAGAACTTTCTAACTGTGAGAGCTGTTCACAGTCACACAAAAAACAACTCTTGTCTGGTGGTAATTGTAGCAGTAATTTTAACTTTGCATATCTTTAGATATCAGGCATTCTTAAATCTTGAGTAAGCATGCATGATGATAGAGTCTGACTTTAACAGTTATTTGTGGAAGCATGCTGCATCTTCCGAAAGTAGTCAGTATTAAGTCATTCTTATAACACCATGATAATGTTAGACCACACCTGCTTTTAAGCACAAACTACCATAACAATTTGGGATAAATTTGTTACTAGATTGTTACAGATCAGCAGACAGGGCAGAAGATTCAGATCGTTACAGCACTTGATCAGTCTGCAACAGGCAAGCAGTTCATTTTAACAAATCATGATGGTTCTACCCCAAGCAAAGTGATCCTTGCAAGACAAGATACTACTCCAGGAAAGTTTTTTCTGACAACTCCAGATGCTGCAGGGGTGAACCAGCTGTTTTTTACATCTCCAGATATTTCTACACAGCACATTCAGGTAAGGCATCCCAAATTCTTATTCAGATGATTTCTAAAATCAAGACACAGTGCACTTGTTAAACTTGGCTCATTTGCAATACGCTAATATCCTGTCTGAATCTTACGGTTGACATCTTTACCTTGGGTGAGAGGTAATGTGTTGGTTGGTTTTAAAACCAGAATATCACAGGGCGTGTCTCCTTTGGTGCTGGAGAAGAAATAGTAATTCTTCAGAGACTTATGTTTTAAAAATGTTATATGTGTCAGGTTTTGGAAATTACCTTGCATTTCCTAAGGTCCCTTCTACACTGCTATATAAAATCCACATTATCTGCATTGAACTGGATTATAGTATATGGCAGTGTAGACTAGGATATTCCAGTTCAAATCAGATAATGTGAACTCTGTGCTTTGATAGCCTGGATTATCTTTCTGTGTAGAAGGGGCCTAAGTGATAGCAGAGTTTATACCTCTGGCCTAATCACCTATAAAAGAGTTAGGCCAGAGTAATTAGGTTGTGATGGCTAATGCAATGGGAGTAGTATATAGGTTGTAGTTATGCTGAGTAAGTTTGAAGAGGAATTGATGGTGGTTTGGAGAATTGCTGCTGTGAGGAAGAAGAAGAATCAGTAAAGTCTGTATATTTTGTATATACTTTGTATACTGCTGCAACAAAAGAGAAAGAAAACCATTCCTGCTTATTTGGGGAAGAACAGAAGTCTCTGGGTTTTGTAGTTTGAGTAGAAGAACGTTACAACTGTGTTTCTGAATACTTGGTTCCTTAACCAGAACTAATTAAGAGTCACTTCTGAAAGAACAGGAGTTTTATGAGTGCATAGAATCCCTGAAAAAATGTTCACCAAATGTTGGGACATTATTTTGGAAAAAGGACCAGTGTATTTGTTGCATCTACACTTTATGAAATAGCCATCATATTTGCTATCAGGTTGTTTGTTTCTGTGTGTTTGTGTGCGTGAGAGAGAGAATGTAGGCAAATGAGTTAGTGAAAGCAAGAGATCAATTAAATCATTTCTTGTGTTTTCCAGATTTTAACAGACAGTTCTTCCACAGAACAGAGTTTGAATAAAGTATTTGATCTCTGTGTTGTTTGTGGAGACAAGGCATCAGGTAAATCACTATGTAGTTGTACTTCCAATATTTACTGTTAGTTGGGTGGTAACATAGTTTTGCAGCATATATGGTATAAAAGTCCTTGTCCCTTTTCAAGCCACAAGAGAGAAAACTAAGTCATTTCAATAATTCTCATTAAACTGTTTCACGTTTGGAAATTGTCTTTGAGATTTTTTAGAAGCATTGCCATTTTGAGATTAGGGATAATGGGATCCTTGTTGGTTTTAAATATTTCTCTTTCTTCCATTAGGCTTGTTATCTATTCATTCTTTTGTGCAGAAAACAGCCTGTTTGTTATCTGTCTGATAAAATATACTGTGGTCCATGAAAGCTTACACTGCATAGAAGTTGTTAGTTGTTAAGGTGTACAAAGACTGATTTTGCTTTGTAGTAATTTATTTGGTATATAGAAATAATACAGAATCTATCAATAATAGAGTCATGTATTTTATTATCTGACTAGGGCGCCATTATGGAGCAGTGACGTGTGAAGGATGCAAAGGATTCTTTAAAAGAAGTATACGAAAGAATTTAGTGTATTCTTGTCGGGGGACAAGAGACTGTGTGATTAATAAACATCATAGAAACAGATGTCAGTATTGCAGGCTGCAGAGATGTATTGCATTTGGAATGAAACAAGATTGTAAGTATGGGCATTGCACAAAGTTTATTGTGGGGAAGGGAGAATCCCTAGAGAAATGATTAATTTACTTGAATCTTAATTTGTTACAGGCAGATTTGGGATATTAAAAATTTAGTAGCAAGGATCTATTGATGCTGTGATGTTCTAAATCGCTTCTAGCGTGAGCACTTTGCTTCCACACTATTTGTGCACGTGATGGCAAGCATTTATTGAAAGCTCAAACTTTCCCTAATATTTTTGCATATGTACTTGCCAGCCAAAAAAAAGTGTATTGCATCAGAAAGCAGTTCTGACTCCTGGAGGATTTCTCCTCTTCTTTACCCTACTACCTGAAGAGAGATGTCTGTACACAATTGGCCATGTTTGGGGGAAAAAATCACATTGCTTTTATATAGTGCAGATTAAGAGGAACCTATTTAACATATTACAGAATCAGAAATAATAGTTTCTAAAAGCAGAGGCTTTGAAAATATGTTTCAAGAAGCCTTGAAATTACTTGGTATTTGCCGAGGTTCTCCAGTCAGAAGATCAGTAATATTGAACAGGTCTCTCTAAATTGTAGCATGTCTATCCTCCACTACATGCTCCTTTTAACATGCAGCTGAAAAACTAAGTGTGTTCTGGACTGCACAATTAATTTTTTAGTCAATTGCACAACTCAAAATTACCTACAAAAACCCAGTTACTCTTTGAGATCCAGTGTCCCTCCTGAAAGATGGAGTGCACACTTAACAACAGAAAGATTGAGCACACACATTCACAATCCAGAATCTTTTAACACACCTTTGTACCTTGGTAGACAAACTATGAAAATTATTCCTTGTAGGCAGTGAACTTGAATGTTTCTGTCAGAGGAAATCTAAACAAAGAAAAACGTCCTAGTGGAAACTTGCTGGTATCAACTACAAACTTATCTATGAATTAGTGTAATGTTTAATGTCTTTAATGTCCTTAAAATGGATAGTTTTGATATTGTAAAAATGTTTTAAATGCAAAACTGACAGTAGTAATTGAAAGTTCAAACTAGTGTATAACAGCTAATTGTGTGTGAATTTTGAATTGTTACTGATAGCTCCACACCCTTTTGTAGCTGTTCAGTGTGAGAGGAAACCGGTTGACGTGTCCCGAGAAAAGCCTCCGAATTGTGCAGCTTCTACAGAAAAGATTTATATTCGCAAAGATTTACGGAGTCCACTTACAGCAACTCCAACTTTTGTAACAGACAACGAAACAACCAGGTATGCGAATACTCCTCTGGTTTAGGTAACATGGTAGCATTTATTATAAGGACATAAGAAACATTTATTTTCTGTTATTTCAGATCAGCAGGAATGTTGGAGCCTGGAATGTTTGTGAATATACATCAGTCCGGTGTAAAAAATGAGCCTACGGTTTTAATGACTGCAGACAAGGTATATGCCAAGGAACTATGTTATTGATACCTTTTCAGTTACCCTCACTCAAATGGGAAATAGTACATAGGTATTATTTGTAGCTTTCACATTTAACTTAAAGAATTTTCAGGACCACTAACTGTGAACAGTTCTGGATGATGATCCACCTAGAAAGCCAGCTACTCCCTCGACAGCAGACTCTGCTGTGGAAATCAAGAACCTTCTCTAAATTGCTTCATTAGTGATTATGTTCGTTTCCCAGTGACTGGCTGCTTCCCTCCCTTGTTCCTATAATTTTCCGCTTGCGTCTGCTGCCATTGTGCCCATAACAAAGCATTGTCTGTGTATTGTCCTGAAACCATTTCTCTTGTTCTTCTCTTGGCTGCTTGACCTTTTCCTCTCTTTTGGTTTTGTCAGCTTCAGTAATTAACCTCATGTCTGGATTATCTTGCTTGGAATCCTGGCTGTTGCTTGTGATAACTAACTGAGGAATATTTAATGCATGGTTTTTCCCTTCATCATGGCAGAGATGGCAATTGATCAGTGCATTTCAAATTGGATCTGATCCAGTTAAACAGGAAACATTGTATTAGGTATAGGGCAATATATCGTTTTGAAAAACAAAACAATAGGTGTATAGTTCTTTCCCCTCTTCCAAGTACATACTAGAAGAGATCAGCAGTATTTCACTTGAATTTATTCTGAAGCACATAATAAGAATAATAATACTTTATTTATATCCCGCTTTTCTCCCTAAACAAGACCTAAAGCAGCTCACAACATTTTAAAAACAATACAAATCAACCATGCAAATCACAGTAAAACCAACTATAAAATATACCATAAATAAACATTTTAAAATCATTTAATAGATAATTTAACAGATACATAGACAGCACCCATTGTTTCTCAAAATTTATGAGGTTCAGGGCTGTGTAGAAAAAGTTGGCTGGATTACTTCTGTAACCTCAATAGCTGCCCACTCCTACTTCAAAACATATATATCAAGGTGGCATCTGAAAGGTTTCTGAAGATAATTCTGTCATTACTGTAAATGTCAATTCCAATATAACAACAAAGCCTTTTTAATAATGTAGTGTTCCTTCTGATCCCTCTGTAAATATCTGCTGCCATTAAATCCCTTATTATTTCTTTCTTAGGTTGAAACATGTCAAGGAGATTTAAGTACTTTAGCAAATGTGGTAACATCATTAGCAAGTCTGAGTAAGTCCAAAGATGTGTCTCAAAGTAGTCCTGATCTGTCTATGATAGAAAGCTTAAGCAATGGAGACGCTTCATTGACTGAACTTCAGCAAGATGCGAATACAAATATTGATGTTACAAGGTAAGACTAGTAGCATATGGGAACAATAGACACATTCCTATAGTATTTTTCTAAGTTTAACTATAGTATTGTTTAAACCAGTTGGATCAGCTGTGTAAATGGCTTATGCTCAACATGGGCATCTTGTTCGACATCTTGACTTATTCAGCAGATATAGGTACTCCATTCTTTTGACACACCAGTCTTTGTGATTACAAGGACTAAAACACACAATCAACAGGATTGAAGTTGGTTTAAGGTCCTGGTAATTGTTGCTTAATATTATTCAGCAGAATTATTATCCTTTGAACTTTTTCAAAGAAAATATTGTTTTATGAAACTGTAGGGTTATGTTTTTGAAGCTGGCTGAAAGAGTTGTATAATAAGCCTGTGTCATTATGTGTCATCTACCCAAAACAATTTGTGATTTCAAAAATACACATACAGAATCATACAATTAACCATCGGGTCCAATCTGATTCTTATTGAAGGGTTTCAGCTAAAGTATTTCCAGAAGGTAGCTCTCCAGTCTCTTTTTAAAACTTGTATTAAGTCATTTCAGAAGATGCAGCATTGTTTGTGGAGATGAGGAATTTTTGGAACCATTTATCTGTCGTGGTCTTCCTCCCTTAATTTTGTTTAACGTGTACTTCTGTGGCCACTACTTCTGTGGCCACTCTTCTTTGCATTGTGGAGATATTTGAGAACATTTCTAAGTCATTAGTTGATTAAAAAATTGGGAACTTGTTTGTAGCTTGATTGATGTTACAGTCCTCAATGCATTATTTGTAGGGCGTTTGATACTCTCGCGAAAGCATTTAACCCAGGAGAGACTGCATCATGTCAAAGCTCTGCAGAAAGCATGGAAGCCAGTGCAAACCTGTTTGGTGAAGAAACAACCACGAGCATTGTTGAAATAGAGGGTCCACTTCTCAGTGATGTCCATGTTGCTTTCAGAGTAAGTAAACATTTATGTACTTGTAATCATTTAAGTTGTGTAAATATTGGTATAACATTTTGGTTCTATGATTTTTTTAGTAAGGAATAATAAGAGTATACCACTATTGTATAGTTGGTTGGTACTCATTTTAAAATGTTTATATTGTTTTAATGTTTGCTAGCCTGTGTGGCCCCCAGAAAACCCTGGGGCAAAGAATTGCTCCCCAGATTCACCAAAGTTGTCTACTCTTGTTGGAGAAAATATGAACGTATTACGGAAATGTACAGACGTACAGTTGTAATATTGTATGCATGTATGTATGTTTTAGCATTTTACATATTTGTAACACTTGAAACATGGTAAGTAATTGATTTCTAAAAAATACAACTTTTTGTGACAGCTCACCATGCCTTCACCTATGCCTGAGTACCTGAATGTACATTATATTTGTGAATCAGCCTCCAGGTTGCTGTTTTTATCTATGCACTGGGCACGTTCTATTTCATCTTTTCAAGCTCTGGGGTAAGTATTGCTGGGTTGAATAAATATAGCCAAGGGCCGTTTCACTGCAGTTGAGTTTTTTGTTGTTACATGCATGTAGCAGGGAGGAGGCCTACATTTTTTGGTTGGTCTTGCTAACATATCAAAAATTATAGTTGACTTACCAGTCCTGGTACCAGCATGTAACCTCCCATCCCATGGCACAAACATGGAACTTCTCCCATCCCTCTCAGTAAGGAGCATTTTATGCGCTAGGACTTGAAATCATCACTGCATTTGTCAAGAAGCAGCTTCCAATTTCTCCCACTAAATATTTTCTATTTGATTCTGGACTTGATAATTTAATCTTTCCTGATCAAGTTGCTTTAGACACCTTGGCCAATTTCAGGCAGTCCCAGACCTTCTTGCAAACATTTTAATCTGGTGGGTGCTAATTGTGTAATAATCAGAACTGATTCCCACCTACACTTACCTGTGTTGCCAGAACATGGCACCACTGTTATTAAGTTAAAAAGAATTATTCCAGCCCACATATTATTCTTGTGTGCTATGTGCATATGAAAGGGGTTTATGTCAAAAAAAGTAATGAGTTTGTGCTAGTCATATATGGCTGCTTATTTGTTGCAGGAAAAAACCTCAGATTTGCTTTCAACAAAGAATATGAGCTTGGATTATCTGCTTAAGGGTTAAATGTTGGTTAATCTAGGCCATTAATCTAGACCACATCTTCAGTTGTTTTCCTCTTACAAAAATATTTCAAGCATCTGTTTTATCAGTATTACCATGTTAGACATCAGCAACTATGTTGAAGTTTCAGCTGATCTCTTCAAGCTCAGATGATGTGATAAAAAGAGTTTGATTGAAGTGAAACAGTGTTATTTCCCACATGCTGACAGATTTCTATTTTGTGACAGTCTTCAAAATATTGCTTCTTGATTTGTTAATACAATAGAGTCTCATTTAACCAACCTTCGCTTATCCAACACACTGGATTATCGAACGGGCCAGCACAGCAGGCCTCTCCATGCGTTGGACACTCACCACACAGCTGGTGCAGCGGGCCTCTCCATGCACTGGGCACTCACTGGGAGGAGGGGCAAGACACATTGGGCACAGTGTCCGGCCTGTACTGGCTGTGTCTTGCCCCTCCCAGTGGGCGCCCGGCACGTGGAGAGGCCTGGTACCCATTGCTGCCTAGGCGCACCCTTTACCTATAGGGCATGGCATCCAGCTTGCACCAGCCATAATTTGATGTTTAATAGACTTTTCCTTAATCCCTCCTTATTATCCAACACTTTCGCTTACCCAGCATTCTGCCGGCCCATTTATGTTGGATATACAACACTCTACTGTATTACCGACAGACCTCATACCTGGATGAACCTTTATTAGACTGTTATCTTAATAAGGACCTAGTCAATCATCTAGCCCAACACAGTACCCGTATTTTGTACATCATCTCAATCTGGAGCAGAATAAATTGGTTCTGGATTTGAGTGCATCCAATAGGGCTGATAGAAGAGATCTTCCCACTCCCCCTTTCACCTTGAACCTCTTCCAGATCCTAAGAAAACTACATGGAGGCCTGTGGGACCCTGCTAAAAGTGGGAAGACTGCATTTAGTTGAAGGGTAGACATTTGCACAAATTCCTTCCACATTAGAGTGCATCTCATATCCAGAGATCTCTCTGAAATCAGACTTTATAAGCTCATGACAATACTGTCATGATTTAGAACTTGACCTATATAGGCATATCATTCTTGTCTGTAATTAGTTGAATGTGAGCACACAATTTTCATGTGAGATGTACCAGAAACATCAATTTCATGTGAGATATCTTTTGAATGCATATCAGAGATGTCAAAAACTTTCAGCTATGTACCATGCCTTACAGCAAGCACTTTCCTTAAAATAATTATCTTCCTTTTAATAGGCAGGATAACAGCATATCACTAGTGAAAGCCTGCTGGAATGAACTTTTCATACTTGGTCTTGCACAGTGTTCACAAGTAATGAATGTAGCAACTATACTAGCTGCATTTGTGAATCATCTTCATAATAGTTTACAGCAAGGTAAGATTCATTCACAGTATCCTCAAAAAGTGTGCAGATAGGATCAATAACCTGCATTCTCATTTCTTGTTTGCTATTGCAATGTGAAGTCCTAAATACGTGTAATTATGCTTACTCGTATTAACCTGTTCAGTGCTATGTATAAATAATGCTGATTTTATAGGTGTGTAGAAGTGTTCAAGAGCAACATGTGCTTTCTTTTTTCTTAATTTCTTTTCAGTTGTATCAGAGCTGCAGGTTCAGCCTCTAGGCCCACCTCATCTAGGTTTTAAACAATCTGAAATTGATTTTTACATATTCATGCACCAAAACTGGTAGAAGTATTTTAATGAAATACGTGCTTTCTTTTATTAACTTAGATAAGCTTTCAGCCGATAGAGGAAAGTTAGTGATGGAGCATATCTTCAAACTTCAGGAGTTTTGCAACAGTATGGTGAAGCTTTGCCTTGATGGTTATGAATATGCTTATTTGAAAGCTATTGTCCTCTTCAGCCCTGGTATGTAAAAATATGAATCTAAATCATTTAGTTTTGCTCTAAGTATGCACAAGTGTCTGGTCTGCTGAAAAGTTGCCTGCATGTTAAGCCAATTCACAGGTAGAAATCATTTGGCCCGAATCCAGTGTCTTCTATACACATTTCCACCAGCAGGATTAAGGAAGAGGGATATTTTGTTCATTCCCCCTTCCTCTGTAGTTTCTTGTTCCCCTTTCTCATGGGGTAGGACCCTCTTGCTTATTTATTTATCGTGTCAGGAGCAACCAGACAGATGTATTACATTTTTTAGCAAAAAAAGCAAACAAACAAAACACAAAGTTTGCAAGCTTGGCAGTTGATTAAATGTCCTTTGACCAGTATCTAGCCACTTGGAGTGCATCTGGTGAACCCTCTGCCTGAACCCTTTGGTGAAGCTGGTAGCAATGGGAGCTGCAGAAGGAAGAGCAATTATCATTTTCACTTCTGGGAGCCCCCGATGGTGCAATGGGCTAAACCCTTGTGCCGGCACGACTGCTGATCAACAGTTCAGTGGTTTGAATCCAGAGAGAGCGAGTTGAGCTCCCTCAGCTCCAGCTCCCCATGCAGGGGGATGCGAGAGATGGTAAAGCATCAAAACATCCGGGCTTTCCCTGGGCAACGTCCTTGCAGATGGCCAATTCTCTCACACCAGAAGCGACTTGCAGTTTCTCAAATCGCTCCTGACACAGGAAAAAAACCAACAACTTCACTTTTGAATGTGATATTTTGTTACACTGGGTTGTTCCTCTTATATTTGCTTTATAGGATTATTTAACAAGTATGGTTGTACACCTACCCCACAAAGTATAGTCAGCAGAAGTTTGGGGCTATATCATCTGCATGTTCAACTTAACCTGTTCTACATGTCTACCATACAGGGTGAAAATCCTACTTATTTGATTGTATTATTTTAATAACCTTTTATTATTGCCTTGAATGAAAATGGTTCATGCAGACACCCCAAATATAAAATGCCCTTGTCCAGTATTAGACTATCTGCAGAAGGGATCTTTGACTACCCCTCCCCCCACCCCCAATAACCTCTGTTTGAGGAGCAGACTTTGTTTTCAGGTACAAGAAATATTATATTATCTTTAAATAAAATACTATTATTCCTATAAAATTACTTTGAATTGTATAGCCCAAATCCTTTGTAAATACTTGACAATTTCAACATAATTTTTGTACATTTTTGGTAATAAGAAAATATGATAAAAGTTTTTTGCCACCTTATGCCATCATATTTGAAACAAATCTAATTATATATATTTTTAGATCACCCAGGCTTAGAAAATGTGCTGCAGATTGAAAAATTTCAGGAAAAAGCATATATGGAATTCCAGGATTATATAACAAAAGTATATCCAGATGATACTTACAGGTGTGTACAAGCAACAAAAATAACTGATTTTTCCTTCCACAATTCCTCTAAATTTGTGTTGATTTGAGAAGCCAAGCAAGCCTTTTAGAGTTTTATATATTAAATAATTGGAGTTTTATATATTAAATAATAACAAAAAAATTATTCCCCACCTCTGATTGCAGCTGGAGGTGCCATACAACATAATCTCTCTAGACAACATTATTTCTATATAGTTTTGTGTATATAGAGTAAAAAGGTCCTGAAGCATCTTATCCAAAATGTTTGGAACCAGAAGTATTTTCAAATTTTAGAATTATTGTATATGCATAAGGAGATACTGTATCTGTGTAAGGAGATATCTTGGAGATTGGACCCAGATCTAAACACAAACTTCATTTATCTTCCAGTTACAACTTATAAACATAGCCTGAAGGTAGTTTTATATACAATATTTTAACAATTTTGTGTATGGAAGATGTGTGCAGTTGTCTGGGTTAACATTTGGTAATTTGTAACTGGAAAACCATATATTTTACTTGTGGATAGATAAATTAAGAGAATGTAAAAGTGTGCCACCCTTTTATTTATTATATTTATTTATTTACTTTGTCCAACCTTATCTTCCAGGTTGTCTAGGCTGCTTCTCAGATTGCCAGCCCTGCGACTGATGAGTGCTGCTATCACAGAAGAATTGTTCTTTGCAGGACTAATTGGAAATGTTCAGATTGACAGCATCATACCATATATTCTAAGAATGGAAACTGCAGATTACAACTCTCAAATAATTGGTCATGCCGTATAAAAGCTGAACCACAGATTCTATTATACCATGGCAATCATGGTGTTTGTAAATATAGATTATCTCCAAGAGATAACGTGTCTTCCTGTAAAGTCACAACTAGAACATTGAAAGAAGTGTTCACTTCCTCCTTACCAATACATTTTGGAAACACAGTGGAATATTTTGACTGCTACAGGATGATTTAACTTTTATCTGGTTTTCAAGAACTTTGTATATTATTTTAGAATCAAAATCAAGGTGTAGTTCATCCTATTTTTGTAGTTTAGCTATACAAACAACTAAAGAACAGATGTACAGAAAACAATCTAGCTTTTGGTGAAAGGAAGTTCATCAAAACATTTTAACGTATTTAGGAAATAAATAAATCAACTTTCTTCCCAATGTTGTGTTTTGGTGTCTTGTTTCTAAAAATGCACTCTTTGTCATTTTGATGTAAGTTTGAAATCTTGAATAAGCTATCTTATTTCTTATGGGACATAGTTACAGAATTCTGAATATCTTTCACTGCTTTAAACAGAACGTATTTTTTAGTAAACAAGTGTTTGTTAAAATTGAAGAGAAGCTACAGGAAAGCTGTAAAACTGTTTTACCTTCATGTTAGTGCCTCAAAATAATTGCTCACTATTTATTGAGTTAATTTGATTCACTGATCATTGTACAGTTCACAGTTATATTGGCTCTAATATAATTTAGGTGTAAAGAATTCTAAATTGTTTGATTGTGTCACACACTCATTGTGTATTACTCCTTAAGCCCTATTATATTTTTACATATGTGCATCAGTTTACCAGTGCCAACTAAACTCATTTGAATAAAATTAGTTTCTTTATATTTAGTTAAGGATTAGAATAGTTCAGATATGGCAGGTGCACCTTTCAGTGATGATATTCAGTGGTACCACTTTTACTGCACTCATTCTGATCCTCACTCAAGATTAAGTCTCAGGTTCTGTGTAGAGTTTCTGAAATGTTCCTAAACAGGTAAGTAAATAAACCACATATGGAATATATGTGTTACTAATAGCATATAGTGTTTCCAAAATAGTCGTGATTGCAGAATCTTCCTTTGTTTTCAGAGTATATTTGCTACACTTTACCAAATTCACTTTGTTGTTCTTTAAAAGCTGCTGAGTTTTAATTGCTGTATAGTAATTAATTAATTGTTAATCTAGCATCAACACAAAATATCCATATCATATGTCACAGGTTGTCCATATAATGTTTTGGCAATTCCCGTTTTAAACCTTACTTTCCAATATTAAATATTGATCACAGTAATCTACCTGTTTCTAGTTGTCAATCTGGGGTCTTTTAGGAAATGAAAATAGCCTTCTGTAATTTGAAGATGCAGCAGGCTTTTAAATGGATTGAGTAGAAAATAGTTGTCCTTGTATATTTCAAAATGAGACATTTTACAATAATGAAGCAAACCTGTATTTTTGACCAGAAAAGTTACCTGCATATGTGCTATTAGACATGTGCAGATGTGCATAATACACACAGTTGTAATATGTTTTCTTCATGATGTATTCTATGATCTTGTAATTATACATTTGTTCTAATTCTTGCCAGTCAGTCATCCGCACACCTCTTTAGTGGCAGCAATAAATTAGTTCAACTTGGGTTTTTTGTTGGTGTTGTTCTCGTCACTGGAAATGAATTGTCTTTGCATTCCATTCAACTTTAGTATACATTTTTGTGGTTCCGTTTTAGTGTGTGCATCAGAATGTCCTAAGTACTGTCTTCCTGTTGTATAATAAATGCTGTAAATGTATTGAGACCCGAAAAAGTGTAAATTCTATTTTGGCTGTATTTTTTAAAATAAATTGTAACTTTTAATATAGGATGCTGTTATTTTTTAAGCTCTTCTTAATTGTACATAAACATGACACACTACTATACAAATGTTTAAAATTATGTTTTTACAGCAATTTGATAAGAGTGAATGGTAATAGTTTGGATCAGTTTCATTCGCTGTGCTTTTTTGCAGTACAGATTTCAGTCACTGTCATTGACCATTTAGATCTGTTCTTTCATAGATTTCTCTCTTGAACCAAGTCAATATACAGTACTCAGAAATAAGATTTTTTTTAAAAAATTACCTATGTCATAAAAGTATTATTTTAAATAATTTACCATCATATTTAGCATACCATAGTGGTGTATGCCATTCCTGATCAGTGCCCATGTTGACTGAGGAAGACTGCAAACTCGCCAACTCTGGTCTCAGTAAACATGTCCATGATTTGGTTTTTCATTAAATACACAAGGGAAAAATCATAATCTGCTGAAGCACTCAATTTTAACACATTAGACACTCTTGGTAATACTTACAGGATGAACATTTCTTACCCAAAATGCTTGGGTCCAGAAGTGTACCCTATTTGGCTTTTGGAATATTTGTTTATAAATAATGAAATATCTTGGATTTTGGTGATGAAGAAAATAGCAGTGAGAGGGTAGGAAGTGTTAACAGAGGGCTTTTTCTTTTCTTAACCTCTATCATCTTTGCTTTAATTCAGTCTACAACCACTTTCCTATTTTTTCTATTTTAGTTTAGATGTTTTTAACATCACAGAAATCTTTTTTGTATGAGACAATTACTGAAGAAGACAATGACAAAGGATGTTTAAAATATCCGCACTTTATTTCTATTATTTTATCCCTCCCCACTCCCCACACTATTAATACAAATTATATTTGTATTGGAGATGGGGCCAAAGGCTAAACTCAAAATTCATTTACGCTTCATTTACACCTTAATTAAAGTAAAGGTTTCCCCTGACATTAAGTCTAGCCTTGTCCGACTCTGGGGGGTACTGCTCATCTCTATTTCCAAGCCAAAGAGCCAGCATTGTCTGTAGATACCTCCAAGATCATGTGGTCAGCAAGAATGCATGGAGCACCATTACCTTCCCACAGAAGCGGTACCTATTGGTCTATTCACATTTGCATGTTTTCGAACTGCTAAGTTGGCAGAAGCTGGGCCTAACAGCAGGAGCTCACCCCGTCGCATGGATTCGAACCGCCAATCTTTCGGTCAGCAAGTTCAGCAGCTCGGTAGTTTAACCCACTGCACCACCAGTATGTCACCAGGAAGACACCTTACTTATATGCCCTTAATGTAAACGTATGCAGGATATTTTTAATAATTTTGATCATGAAACAATGTTTGTGTATATTGAATCATCAAAAGCCAAAGGTGTCGCTGACAATTCTGGGAGGATTTCTGAATTCCAAATATGGGATACTTAAGCTATACTTGAATCTACAAAGTTAAAACTCATGTGCCAGCTGCACCCATACCTTGGGAAGTCTGACTTGGTCATGGTAATCCACGTTCTGGTTACATCCCGTATAGACTACTGCAACACAATCTACATGGGGCTGCCTTTGGAGACTGTTTGGAAGCTTCAGATGGTCCAGCGTGCGGCATCCAGGTTAACAGAAGTGGCACTCAGGGAGCGCACAACTCCTCTGTTGTACCAGCTCCACTAGCTGCCAGTTTGCTTCCGGGCACAATTCAAAGTGCTGGCTTTAGACTATAAAGCCCTAAACGGTTTCAGACCAGCTTACCTATCTGAATGTATTTCTTCTTATGAACCAACTAGGACACTAAGATCTTCTGGGGAGGCCCTGCTCTTGGTCACGCCTGCCTCACTGATGCATTTGGCGGGGACAAGAGACAGGGCCTTCTCAGTGGTGGCCCTTTGACTGTGGAACGCCCTATCCAGGGATATAAAATTGGCCCCCTCCCTTCTGACTTTTTGAAGAAAGGTTAAAACCTGGCTTTTTGAGCAGGCCTTTGCTAATCCAGCATAATTATACGAAATCATGGAACGACCTGGCAATGCAATTGAATAACGATTTTAACAAGGAGACGCTCACAACAATGTTTTTATGGCATTGTACAGTTTTTTTTATATTTTATGCTAAATGTTTTAAACAGTATTTTATGATTGTTTTACTTGTTGTGGCATCAAATGTTGCCAACTGTGAACTGCCATGAATTGCCTTCGGGCTGAGAAGGGTGGTATACAAATATGGTAAGTAAATAAATAAACAAATAACAAAGTATCTGAATATACCAGCCCAGCAAGGTGTGGTGCTTTCTTAGCTACACTGATGCATAATGTAGTTTGTAATTGCATTAAACAAGTCAGTGTAGACTCATATAATGCAGCTTAACTGCATTATATGGCAATGTAGATGGGGCCTTTGAATTACTGCTTGGCGATAGAAAACAAACCTAGCAGAAAACATACCTGACCTGACATGCCCTATGTTGCATATTGGTCTGTGCCAACCTGGGATCTCCTCTATTGTCTTTTGTGTGTACAGAAGCCTTTATGGATAACGCTTTTGACTAGGAGACTCAAATTGATACATGTTTTTATTGATATTGATTACTTGGTTTTATACTTAAATTGACTGTTTTTAATTATATTTTTTAAAAGGTAAAGGTTGTCCAGTCATGTCTGACTCTGGGGTGTGGTGCTCATCTCCATTTCTAAGCTGAAGAGCCGGCGTTGTCCATAGACACCTCCAAGGTCATGTGGCCGGCCTGACTGCATGGAGTGTATTTTATGTCTTTGATATTGACTGTAAACTGCCCTGAGTCGCCTGCAGGCTGAGAGGGGCGTTATATAAATGTAGTAAATAAATAAATAAATGTGTAGTGTAAACGATACCTATATATTAAATACAGTGAGGTTTGAGCATGGAGCAAGCAGTCCAGAATTTGACTCCAACACTCAGCCTTGAAAAATATCTTTTCCTGATCCAAATACACATACGATCCCGCCAGCCTCACAAGCACGGCTGGTGGGGACGAGAGACAGGGCCTTCTCAGTGGTGGCCCCTTGGCTGTGGAACACCCTTCCCGCAGATATTAGATCGGCCCCCTCCCTGCTGGCGTTCAGGAGAAGAGTGAAGACCTGGCTCTTTGAACAGGCGTTTAATTAAGCAGTGCAATTAATTGATTGATCTTGGAACTTGGAATAATGGACGAGGAGATCGGATTATGACTTTACTGATGAGACGTGATGGATTAGTTATATGGATGTATTGATGTTATATTGATGTACTGATGTATTGTTATATTGATGTAGTTGCCTTAGTTACTGTTTTAATTGCTAATGTTGTGCACTTTGTATATTGGTTTGGTTGTAAACCGCACTGAGTTGCCTACGGGCTGAGAGAGTGCGGTGTACAAATAAAGTAAATAAATAAATAAATAAATGAGGGAAGGCACATTCTCAGGGTGCATCGACACTGCAGAATGAATGCAGTTGGGCACCACTTCAGCTGCCATGGCTCAAACGCTATGGAATCGTGGCAGTTGTAGTTTTACAAGATCTTTACCCTTCTGTGCCAAACTGCAAATCCCAGGATTCAATAGCTTTAGCCCATGGCAAGTTTAAATGGTGTCAAACCGCATTAATTTCTCCAGAGATCAAAAACCTTCTCGGCCCTGGACAAGTCACACTTTCTCAGCCTCAAAGGAAACCTCCTCTGTGATGGGGTCGCCAAACATAGGAAACTAAGGCACACCACAAGACAACAAACCTGGATGAACACATGATGCAAGGGGAGGATCTGAACGACAGAGAAGGCGGGGCTGTGATTGGCTGGCTGGCTGGCTGAGGATCTGCGCCTGCGCAGTGGCCCCTGCCGCCTCCGGGAAGATGGCGGAGTACGTGCAGGTGGCCAAGAGGGCCATGCAGCAGCTCGGGGGCCACGGCGGGATTCGCGGGGCGGTGCTGCAGTTGCTCAGGTTAGGAGGCTCTGGGCTTCCCTGGAAAGCCGCGGGGGGAGTGATGGGGGGGGGGCGTGTTGGGTGAAATGTCCGCCCTTGGGGTGGGTCACCTTGGAGATCCGTGAGGGCGAGGCGCCTCTTTCTGGGCCTGAGGGAACTGTGGCCCCTCGAGGCCTGAGGTAAAGTGACAGGAAGGCGGAAGTGGGCGCCCAGAGTGAAGGCCTTCCCGAATCTGTCCTCGCTGAGGCGGCTTCTACGCTGTAGAATTAGAATGCGGTTTGATACAACTTTAACTGCCCTGGCTGAAAGCTATCGAAGCATTTGTGGTTTGGGGAGGCACCAGCGCTCTTTGGGAGAGAAGGGTTTTATTTATTTATCATGTCAGGAGCAAACCAAACAGTTGTATTGCATTTTTAAACAAACAGACAGACAAAACACAAAGTTTGCAAGCTTGGTAGTTGATTAAATGTCCTTTGACCAGTAGCTGGCCACTTGGAGTGCCTCTGGTGTTACTATAAGAAGGCCCTCCATTGTGCATGTAGCAGGGCTCAGGTTGCATTGCAGCAGGTGGTCTGTAGTTAGTTCTTCTCCACAGTACGACTAGACTTAATGTCAGGGGATACCTTTACCTTGTATCAATGGGATGAAGAAATAACGGGCAGGCAAATATGCTCTGGATTAATTTTAACAAATATGGACATGTGTCACATTTAGTTCCAGTTTCATGATAAACAAACCAAGGGTCAGCAAATTGTTGATTTAACAAATGAAAACCTCTTAGCCACATGCAGTTACTTTGAGGATCCAGAGATGTGAGAACCTGGAGCTCAGCAATTGCTGCTGAATGTCATTCACTCTTATCATCTGTGGAACACATGTGCCTCATATATCTACAAAAATGTTGTTCTGGGAAGAATCTGAAGATTTTGTCCTATCCCTGGAAGAATGTCCAGATTTATTTATTTATCATGTCAGGAGCAAACCTAACAGTTGTATTGCATTTTTAACAAACAAACAAACAAAACAAAGCACAAAGTTTGCAAGCTTGGTAGTTGATTAAATGTCCTTTGACCAGTAGTTGGCCACTTGGAGAGCCTCTGGTGTTACTATAAGAAGGTCCTCCATTGTGCATGTGGCAGGGCTCAGGTTGCATTGCACAGAGAGCCCCCATGGCCAACTGAATATTCTGGTGCGGTTTAGGGGAGGACGGACTACAGATGATGGCACTTACAATACCTTCACTCACTTTCTGAGACCACTGCTATCCTATCCAATGACTGATCAAGACCAAATGACTGATCAAGTACCTCCAATTCAACTGGAGACCGCTTCAACTCTTATCCAATGACTGATCAAGACCAAATTTGGCACACAGAGCCCCCATGACCCACTCTACACCCTGGTGCAGTTTGCAGGAGGATGGACTACGGATGATGGGACTTGAAGTACCTTCACTCACTTCCCAAGACCTCTGCGAACATCATCCAATGACTGATCAAGACAAACCTTGGGACACAATGCCTTTCTGAAATAATCCAGGCAGCACCGGGTCCCCAAGCATGTGTGTCTATCTATCTATCTATCTCAGGCTGGGGCCAGGCCAGTGGCAGATGAATGGAGAGTGTTTGTGTGAACTAATTCACACAGTGCCAAAAAGGGAGGAAAGAACAATTCCATAATTAATTTTTTACCAACATAAATTTAACAGTATTTCAGAGAAAGACCCCCCAGGGCCATCCAGTCCAACCCCTTTCTGACATGCAGGAAAAACACAATAAAAATGCCTCTAACAGATAGCCATTCATCCTTTATAATAATCACAATAATAGCAGAAACTCCAGAGACCATCCAGTCCGACCCCCTTCTGCCATGGAGGAAAAACTCAATCAAAGTATCTCTAACAGGTGGCCATCCAGCCTTTGTAATAATAATAATTATTATTTTATTACTTATCTGCCTCTCCTCTTGGCTCAAGGCAGCTTACAGCATTGCTAAAACACACAATCAAACACAATAATTTAAAACACTCTGTAGAATACACATATTAAGACATATTTCCCTAAAATACATTTTAAAATACACAAAATAAAAGTTAGACATAGAGTGGAAGTTAAAATTTCATAATTATAACTATCTGTGAATAATAATAATAATAATAATAATAATAATAATAGCAGAAACACAGAGGCCAACCCCTTTCTGCCATGCAGGAAAAACACAATCCAAGCACCCTCTGTGTGGCGGGAGGGAAATAGGATTTTGAAAGGGTGGGAAGGGGGTTGCAGAGTCTGGATGTCAATGAAAAGAGTATGAGGAGTGAGGGAGGGGAGCGGGGAGGGGGGGTCTGTGCCCCAGGAGGAGGATGTTGCTGCTGCTGTTGTTTCCTGCAGCTCAAAATTTAATTTTACTACGTTTCTCAGGAGGAGGAAAGAGGAGGAGGCAGGAAGCAGCATGGAGCCATGGAGTCCCTTACTATAACCCGCAGAGCCCCAAGGACTCCATGAAGCACAGTTTGAGAAACCTTGGCCTAGAAGGATCCTATCAAAGATCAACGGCTAAGCAGCTTTGGATTGGAGAATGTGGTTTTTCAGATAGCTTGACCCCCAAGTTATATATCACTTTATAGGTCATTCTAGAAACAGATGGGTTACCAATGAATTTCTTGCAGTTATATTGTGTTCCTTGTAACTGGCCCCATTGAGTATTCTAGCTGCACCATTTTGGAGCAGCTGAAGGTTCCCAAAACTTTTCAAATAAAGTTCCATGTTCTGTGTCAGTGCAGAATATAGTTAATGTTTTGTGATGTTTCAATACTATTCTTTTTTGGCATTTTTCAGAGTGAATGATCTAAAGACCGGCGCGCTAGTTGGTGTTGATAAGTATGGGAACAAATACTATGAAGATAAAAGATACTTTTTTGGTGAGTGTGTGCATTTGAGAAATCTGGACAAAGATATGATAAAGAAATTTGAGCAAAGATTATTCTTTGTGCGTTTCTGTGAGTTGTGCCCTAATTAAGTTTCATTAAATTCCATCTTGTCTCCTGCATATATCAACAGTTGGGGACACCTCCCCCCAGCACCAACTGCCACTCTGGGCCAGAGTGAAGAGAGAGGGAGCCAGGGGACAGTTCCATCTTGTCTCCTGCAAATGTCATCAATTAGGGCCCCCTCCCCCCAGCACCAACTGCCGCTCTGGGCCAGAGTGAAGAGAGAGGGGGGCAGGGGACAGTTTCATCTTGTCTCCTGCATAAGTAATCAATTGGGGTCCCCTCCCCCCAGCACCAACTGCTGCTCTGGGCCAGAGTGAAGGGGGGGGGGGCAGGGGACAGTTCCACCTTATCTCCTGTGCTATGCTAATAATATAATATAATGTAATATAATATATTGTATATACATATGATATTTATAATATTATAATGTAATACAATATAATACTAATAATAATAATAATAATATGATCATTATATATTTTATATTACATGTAATATTACTAATAATATTACAATATAATGGTATAGTACTATATAGTAGTATATAATATTGATATTGTACTATGCTAATAGTATAATATATTGCATGTATATATATCTTATAAGCTGCTCTGAGTCTCCTTTGGGGTGAGAAGGGCAGCATATAAATGTCATAAATAAATATTGCGAGGTAGAGTCTCTATTGATCACAAGAAGTGCCTATAAACTATAGTGACTTCACAATAGTTTGTCACAAAGTTGTGAAAAAATAGGGGGGTTGCAATATTATAATTATATAATGATAACTTAATTTTTATACCCCGCCTCCACCGCCCCAAAGTGACTTGGGGCAGCTTACATAGGGAATATTAGTGTATTTTATGCATTGTTCAGAGATTTTGATTTGCAGGTAAGAATCCTGATTCATCTTGCCTTTCCTATCAGTTTATAGCACATTAATTTCTTTTAAAAAAGGCAATAGTATAATATATCACCTTGTTTTATTATATGTATGCTAAAATTTTTGATTGGTTTTCCTCCTAATATTTGAACCATGGACAATCCACTATGGCTTATGGATGGTAGTAAATTCAGAGTGACTCACAAAGAAATAGTGAGTAGTTTATACTCTCCGGTGTCTTGCATAATATTATGGCAGTGTTTGCATTTTGGTCGAATCTAGTTGTTGTTTTCATCTAAAATAAGCCTCATTAAATTAGTGAAAAATAGTAAGGTGAATTCCATTGTTTCAGTGGGCTTGTTCTAATTGAAGCTAACAGTTGGATTGAGGTCACTATGTCTGTATGTTCTTATGCCTTCAAGTCACCTGGCAATTTATGGTGGGCCCTAAATTTCCTAGGGTGTTGTTAGGTGAGCATCTGGCTATATTAAGAGAAAATCAATGACAAACACTGCTGCAGTTGACATGCCCTGCATTTCTTAGTAGCTTGTGCCCATCGTTGATCTCCTCTTTCCACTCCTGTGCCGACAGAAGCCTTTATGTAAAGTGTCCATGTTACATATGCATTAAATACAGTTTAATTTCAGCATAGTACTCCTTGCGTAAGAGAGTTTAAGTGGTTCTATTTTGCAGTAGATAGTTTTTGCATTAGTGAAGAATATGGCATCCCAAAACATTCGGTCAGGGGGTTGGAAGGGGAAGTAAGTTTGCAGACTAAGTGCAGTAGACTTTTGCTATTTTCTGTGGTTTGGTTCAGGACCTCCAGGAGATATCAGAACTTGGATGCTCAGGTCCTATTATGTCCAGTGTTGTAGGAAAATAGTGTCTTTTAAATATATTGGCAATATCAAGGTTTGATTTTTGGATTTAAAGAAAAAAATCATGGATAGTTGAATCTGGGCCAGAGGGCAGGGGGCTATGTTAGTTCTGGTAGTCTGCTGTTCTGGTTCATACACCAAAACAAATACTTCATAAGTAAAAGTATTTCATCATACATTCCTTTTTTGTATACGTAAAACTTTTAGGAACAGAATTAACTCTGTTGAAATAGAATGCAGTTACCATGAGCCTCTAAATAGAGAACAGGTCTTAACACAAATCAAAACTGAACTCTCTCTTGAAGCTAAAAGAACAAAACTGTCATACTTTGGAAATATCATGAGAAGACATGACTCATTAGAGAAGACAGTGATGCTTGGGAAGGTGGAAAACAGTACGAAAAGAGGAAGACTGCATTATGGGGGAAGACTCAATCGAGAAAGCCACAGCTCTGGGTTTGCCAGACCTAAGCAGGGCTATTGATGATTTGGTGGCCTCTCATTCATATTTTCTCCATAAAGCAAAGTCAGCTTGATGACCACTGTCAACAACAAATAAATAGTTTTAATTCTGTGTCTTTTGAATAATTTTCACTGACTTAACCCCACCCACCACCCCACCTTGTGTCAAATCAGTTCAAACAAACAGGACGTTTGTTGAAAACCAATCTTTTGAAAACAGAATAATTAACCCAAATTTAATCTTAGCATAACTTCACATAATTTAAATTTGGATCCTGCTGGTTATTTCTATCATTCATTGTAATACATTTCAGTTTATTGATTTGTTTTTCTTATGCTTCTATTTTAAGGTCGTCATAGGTGGGTTATATACACTAAGGAAATGAATGGTAAGAACACATTCTGGGAAGTGGATGGAAGTATGGTGCCTCCTGAATGGTAAAGTAGTTTATTTCATTCATTTCTCTGTTTAGATGTTTTAGTAACCTTGTGAAACAATTAACCTTAGAACAAGTCAGTTTGTCTGAGGGCAACATGCAAAAACAAGTAAATGAAAATTTAAGCCTCTTAGTAGTCCATCATCCCCTAATCTTCTGGCAGGAAGCAGTGTTCACCATTTACAGGACAGAAAACAAATCAGGCACTGCAGCTGTATGCGAAAGGGGCAAGTGATATGTTAACACTAAGTACTATGGTAACTTCCCATTTCTTGCAGAAAACTGAAAATCTGTATCTTATTCTTCCCTTCTTTTCTTCCTCTGTTGGCTTAGTATAGTAAAGGATGTAACATCGTGTTTTCCCATTGCTGCTCCTGCCTCTCACCCACAGCAGTAATTAAAAATACGGAATTCAAAATGTTTTCTTTACAGCCAGGTTTTGATTTACATGGGGTTGTATTCTTGAACTTACAATTAAACTAGGAGTGATGCAAATGCGGGCAACCAGTTTCATAGGAAATCACTGCAATCCAGCAGATGAGTTCAGACCCCAAAGCAGTATACAAAATTAGTAGTTTTACTTAATTCAGTATCAGATTCAAAGAGATTTAGAGCTTAAAACATCAGAGCATACATGAGAGAAATCTCTCCTTCAAGATGATAAGACTCCATTTGCTTACCCCTCCCTACAACATACACACATAGGCATGCAGGAGATAATCCTTCCAGCTACATCAAAACTCAGAGATTCCAGTTTCTTTCTTGTTTTTATGTGCCTTCTTTTAATCTGACAAAAGAAAACCACTTCTTCAAAACACTGGCAAGATTCCAGTTTCTTCTTCCTTCTTACTGTCCTCCTTCAAAGTAGACAAAGAAAATCTTTCCCTCCAGCATTGTCAAGATTGTAGTTGCTTCCTGCCTATTCCTACCAATTGAGCCCTGTCACTCTTACTATTCAAAACTTGATACCAAAACTCCAAAAGCCTTCTTATCTTATTTCATTCTCCTTATTTTCTGCATCTATCAACTGCACAGGAGAGCTATGCAATGTAGGTGGGACATTCATTTATAAATCAAATGTTATACATTTGAAGTATCATGATTGGAACAATGCACATTGCAATTTTGAATTCTATATTGCAATTAGAGGAGAGAGAATTAATGACTATTATTACTTGTGAGAAAATATGTTGTTATGTGTTGTACCCATGGGGTGTCTAGTCACCTTCCAGTGGCAAACTTATTCCTTGTATAGGTCATTCACCAATGTGACCAAAGCTGCCTCGGTCCCATTGCCAAGCCTGAAATCAAACTGAAATGGATCTTGATAATTTGTCTTACTCAGGAACCGTTGGAATTGAGAAGCCAATGCATGCTCTAAAACAGTGGTTCTCTATCTGTGGGTCCCCAGATGTTTTGGCCTTCAGCTCCCATAAATCCTAACAATTAGAAAACTGGCTGGGATTTTAGGAGTTGTATGCCAAAACACCTGGCAACCCACAGGTTGAGAATCACTCCAATCCTTGGTCAAAAATTGAATGTTTAAGACAGAGCTATAGTTAGTACGATAGGACAGTTTTTCAGAAGAAGTCATATCATAGCTTCATTCAGGTGTGTTGCCTTGCTGCAAAGAGGCATTAATCACTTCCCTGCTTAGCCAGTTGTCCCCTGACAGTTTAATAAGCCAAGAAGGGCAAAGGTCTAGTACATAGGTGGTGGTTCTCAACTCTCCAAGGATCTTTTCCATATGTCTTTCAGCTGTTGTGCAAATGTTGATGCTTGTCCTGTGGGCAAGAAGAAGAGGATACAGATAGTGATTTCATTCCCCATTAATGAAAGTGCAGCCATTCCTTGTCCTTTGTATACATACTATACTTGACTTTTTCTTGCTCATTGGTTTATTTAGTGATTCTGTGAATGTGACAGTGCAAAGTTCTGAAATCTCTAAAAGGACAAAAATAATTTTTGGGATTCCAGGAGATTTAAATGAGATTTTAAAGCTACACTGTCAGTTTTATCCATTTTTATATAAATGGCAGTGCTATTCAGCTGTGTACCATTAATGTGTAAATCAAAATTCATTGGTGCAAAAAAAAATCAAAATTAAGCATTTGCTATCATAATTTGGTTGTTCAAAGATACAGCAGCATTACATTGAGAATACAACATCACAAGATGCTGTGATTCCCTTCCCACTCTTTCCCCACCATCCTTGTCTCATAAAGTGTAGTTGCTGCTTTAAATTGCCACAGAATACAGTAATGAAATACCAAGGTGAACAGCTTTAAAAGTGGATAAGATAAATAGTAGGAGGATAAGCTATTAACGGCCACTAGTCATTAAAACCGTATCGTACCTGCAGAATCAAAGGAAACATGCCTGTGTAGGAGTTAATGGCACAAACAAGTGGGAGGGTGCTGTTACACTCATGGCCTGTTTTTGAGCTTCCTGTAAGCATCTGCTTGGTAACTGAGAACTAATTGCTCAAGTGGATTGACCTTTGGCCTGATACAGCACGATTATTATATATTTATGTGTAGCTTTTCCTTTTTATCTTAGTTTCTGTCTTTATATGCATAGTGGTGCCTCATAGGCTTCACTAATAAACCTATCCTGTGTTTGAGTTTATTTTCAAGGTTCTGTTCCATCAATAGATCACTGCATCATTTGAAATTATCTTCTCTTGATATAACTAATAAAATCTTAGGATCCTCTAGCATAAACTCCATAAATCCCTAGGTCAGTGCAGTACAGAAGTGTACAATCTAATTGAAAAAATTTAAAACTATATATGAATATGGGATTCCTCCCTCTCATTTTACTTAAGTATTCCAGTTTAGATTTGTCAGAGTGATTTGCTAGTGCTAGTGCTGATCATCTGATTTGCACAATGAAATGATTTGGCATGGTCAGGGCCTGTTGCCTCCTTGGGAGCTTGATGACAGAGGTATGAAATGGCTTGATGGTACAGTTAAATCAGCAGGGCACGTTGCACATCAGGACACTCCATAAGCACAGTTTCTGTTTTTGTAAAAGTTGTTCAATTGTGGGTGTTAACAATAGTGAATGCTGTTTAGTAGAGAGAGCGCTGACAGAAATCACAGGTGCAAAACCCTATTCGATGTGGGCACACGGTTCTTTGAATTTATGTTCTGCTCTCCAAATCAGTGAGATATTCTCACTGGCAGGTGCAGAATGACTTACAAAATACACTACAGTAATTATCAAACTCAAAATTCAGATTTCTAAGCTGGCCATAAGGTCATTTTGAAGTAGTCACCCAAAGGTCCTCATTCTCCCACTTCCATTTTAGTGGGGAGGGCAGGGTCTGAATTTCTGTTTGCCCCAAAAGACCACTAGCACCCTAACCCCGGGGGGGGGGGGGGGGGGGGGGGGGGTCATATTAGCTATAGTTTGATCTCATTCGTCATTTTAGAGTACTGCTTTCAAATCAAAAAGTGATCAGACCTGACACTGTGGTCACTTCTTTTTTTGAAGAAGGGCTTTTTTTAAGGTCAAAACACCTAAGAGCTGAAAAAAGGTTTTGCCGGCCCAAATAACTACCCATGAAGAAATCTAGAGTAGAATTTCTACCCTAAATGTTTGGGGTGTTATTGGCTATTTTAGCTTCTCCCCTTCTTGGACTGCTGGGGATTTAGAGGAGCATAGGGTCCTGCAGGGCACTGGCAGTTGCCCTTTCCTGCTATAAAGGGATACCAGAGCCACCTTTTAAAATGCATTGATTTTGGATTATATGACCAGACAGTGGCAGTGGGTATTCACTACATAAAGTTCTGGTAACATTGCCGTTAGCTACATTTATTTCCCAGTACTCTTAATTAGACTCTCTTTGCTTTAATGAGAACTTAGTGCATCTGTTCTTTCTATGCTAATTAACATGACTCAGATATTTTCAGGAAATCACCTTTTTACATTTTTCCAAATTATTTTAGCAGCCCTAAGTTTTAGTAAGAACATACCTGGGAAGCATAAATAATTCCAATGCATTATTACAATTTTGCTGTAGTTGATGGACATCAATTTAGTTACAATTAAAAAATAATAACAGAGCATCTAGTCTTGCCGTTTCCTCAGCCTGTGGCCTCTATAGAAAATGGTGTCATCCTGTGCTGCTTCTTCAACAGTAAGAAAGATTATGTGTATATTGACTATAGGATTTGCATGTAGTAGTGAATAATAATTTAAAAAGTTGGCCAGATATGACATCTGGTCTTGGAGCATTTCATTTAATTTTCCAATTAAATTTTAAATGGATTTAATTCTTTGTACTGGTGTTTTAGATCATTATTGGAAACAAGACAGAACAATTCTTGTAACTACTTCTGTATAATGAACTATTTGCAGAAGCCCTCTTCATATGACTCTTGCATGCAGTATTAAACATGGTTACATCAGATGAGCAGAAGTTTTCATCATGTCATAGTGCCATTGTCCTATTGTGAAAGGCAGGTAAAGGAAAGACAGGGCAACATCTGGCTTTGGTTTCTCCACCTACAGAGGATGTTAAGAAGAATCACTCATGCTGTGATAGGAGTCATTCCTGTAGCACTTTTTATGTGTCCAGAATAGATTGTATCTATTCTTGTAATAACTTTTTTGTAACAACCTCCTTTTGTGACAACTGTTTACCTGTAATTGACTACTTATATTCTGATTAACAAATGGCTTCTGTATTTGCACATGATCCTGTGAAGCAAAAACATGAGATGTAGCCACTAAGTTACTGAAAACGTAGTGATTTATCAACAGGGTTTGCCTCTGAAGCTGTGTCTGCTGCAGTGGTTACTAAGATATTTTATTACTTTGTTTTTATTTTTAAGGCATCGTTGGCTTCACTGTATGACAGAAGATCCACCAACGACACATCCACCAGTGAGTCGAAAATTCATTTGGGAGAATCATAAGTTCAATCTGAGTGGTACTCCTGGACAATATGTGCCCTATTCTACCACCCGCAAGAAGATACAAGAGTGGGTCCCACCTTCTACACCTAGCAAATGAAGTCATTTGATGATTTGCAAAGAATCAAACTTACAGTATGAACTGTATCTTTCTTCTGTATTTAAAATAAAAGTCTTTGATCAAAAGCCTTTTGAAGTCATAAATATTTATTTTACAAGAAGCATGGACTTGTGGATGGCTAGAAGAAGAATACAGTAACAGCTTTGTTTCTTTGTCAGAGAAGTTGTCGGCCAGACCATGGTGAAACCTGGGTATGAACTAACGCCATTTAACCCAATTCCAGTTCCAGCATACAATGTATTGTCATATGAAGGGAAATGTGCTTAAGAATAGCACTTATTTTTTGCAGTGTTGGCACTCATAATAATAATAATAATAATAATAATAATAATAATAATAATAATCACCATCATCATCATCTTGGCCTGCACTTAAAAACAATAGGCGCTGACAAAATTACCATCTGTCAGCGCCTATTACCATCTGTCTTATTGTGTATCAAATAGTACTACTACTACTACTACTACTAATTATTATTATTATTTAAATGTTGCTTTTCTCCCACAATGGGGACCCAAAGTGGTTTCCATCATGTTAAAATATGGTACAAAGTCAATACCATATGTTACTCTGCATGACTCAAAATCTTGTTTATGGTCTGGCTTATAGACTACATATCAGAACAGTTGTATATATAAAACTTCTCACCTAGGGGTGAGAAAATCGGTATATAAATACTGTAAATAAAATAAAATAAAATGACTGGCATTATTCACCAGAAATATTAGCATTGTTATAGATAATGTTTTTGTAGTGGTTCATAGTTTATAAGGTCATATTTGGAAATCATCTTTTTTTCTTGATCACCAATGGACTTGTGTCACCACAAGAAAGAGATTTACTTTTGGGGATTTCTGTGCTTGTTGCATGAAAACATATCAGACAGCCAGTAGGATTCTGGTATCAATTGTGCATATCTAAAAGATACTGTACAAGAAAAAAATATATGTGGTGCTTTAAATATTGTGATCTACAGGACAAATATAATTTAAAATTCAAAGTATTAAATTTATAGGAAACATTGTGCATGCCTGTACTGTGGTATAGCTAATATGTTTTTGTGTTTTTCAAAGAGGTAGCTGTGTTAGTCTCTTGCAGCATAAAAAGGAGGAAAGAAGGGGAGGTAAAAAAAACTATGAAAGCAACTTTTAAGACTAATGCATTTATTTTGTCATGAGTTTTTGTGGACATAAACCCACTTCTGCTAATGTAGTACTGGGTTATATTAAGGCCTCAGGCATGTTATGCTGCAGGCTTGCATCCATTATACTACATTTTAATTTTAATGCCTACATATTTTCCCCTGAATAGATTGAACCTGTTATGTAGACCCTCTATTGTAGATTCACTGCTGTTACACACTTCCAAGTCAATTTTGAACTATGGCAACACTTATCAGAATTTTTTTAAAGACAAGATTTATTTGGAGTGTTTGCTATTGCCTTCTAAGGCTGAGAGAGTATAGCTTTACTTGTACAGATTATTTACTTATGGCTAACGATGGTTTTACAGCTATTTACACCTGCAGTCATGGAATAATGTCACACTTCAAATGATGCAAGGTGAACCAGAATTGTGATACTAGATCATGTAAAATGACAAAAGTTTCCGTGCTTTTATATTTTTGTTGGAAACTGTAGGGGCAAGAGGAGGGGTAATTGGTTGTGTCCAAGAGTGTCATGTGACTTGTCTGTTTGGCAAGTTTGCTGACCTTGCAGTTTAGTATTAAAGTTGTCAAGATGTAGTGAATATGGCTGCAAAACTTGTGAATTGCACCAAAAATAAACTGTTCTGTTGTATGCTTTCTGTGAGCAGAAGGTGTGGTGGGAGCACAAATTGATCTCCACTTGTGTACTCAATATGGCAATTAAGTTATCTCTCATACACTGTGCCTCAGAGTGTAGTGGAGGCTCCTTCCTTGGAAGCTTTTAAATAGAAGCTGGATGGCCATCTATCAGGGGTACTTTGAATGTGCTTTTCGTGCATGAGAGGGGGTTGGACTGGATGGTCCATGCAGTCTCTTCCAAGTACAATTCTGTGAGTCATCTATGAAATGTTCAAAATTGACCATATTAGTGTGACAGATGCAGAGTGTTCCAGACATCTAGCTACAGCCACAACCATGAAGAACCTTGGAACTGATTCGTGACAACAAAAGCGTAACAGTCAAAATGGTTGCAGAAAGCTGAATGTGAGTGCAGCTCACACATTGAAAACTCTCAGACAATTGAAATGGGAAGTTATGGAATACCTAGTTTACAGTCTGCATTTAGCACCAGCTTTCCTAAATCCGCCAACTGATTTCCAGCTTATAGGACCATTCAAAGAACCGTTAAGAGGAAGAAAACAGCAGTGTGTCAGTGGCTCCATGCTTAGCCATCAGCACATTTGTTGCTGATGGCATTAGAAAATTGGTATGATGCTGGGGAAAAATGCATCACAAGGGAAGGTAGATTATGTAGAAAAGTGTTATAATTTGTTTTTAAAAAATTAATAAGCAGAGTTTTTAAAAGTGCAGAATTTTTGTTAAAGTCCCTTCATATCATACATAATTGCTGGCAGTAGAGGGATAATAGCTCCTTGTGAAATGGATTCGTGAGCACCGTACATTAAATTAACAGAACATCTAGCATGTTCCTCCTTTCTTTTTCTATGAGCTTAAAATAGTGCATATATGTTTGAACTAAATATAATACATTAGTGTGCTTCCCCTACCCTCTCAGTTAAAACTGTTCCAATGACAACTTGTGTAATTAATGACTTGAATCTCTTCGTTTGTTTTATTTACAGCAAGCGTATTGAATTAGTGGGATTTCCCTGTTTTGAGATTCATCAGTCCACTGTACAGTATGACCCCTGTATCTGTGGGGAGTATGTTCCAAGACCCCCACCACCATAGCACATGGATAATAGCACAACCTATATTTTGACTATATGTTCCAATACCCATAACAAATAGGTGAAATTGTGGATAACAGTGATTCCTATGTTTTGGTTATACTTGGGCCAGGAGCATATAATAGAATTGCACTATGGTATTTATGGGGGACCTGGAAAGACTCACAAACATTGGAGGAGAGAGATTGATACTTTTTTGGAATGTGGATAAGTGAAACCCAGGGGCGGCTCATCCATTACGCAAAGTAAGTGGTCGCAGTACACTTTTTTTTGCCAGGGGCGCAGAGGCGCCTCTGTAAATGCCCCTCGACCACCACTTTAGGAGCACCCCCTCAGCTCACAACAGCCCTAGTAGTCCACGGGAAGCCTCAGCAACCTATAACGCAAAGTAAGCATTTCCAGTATAGTTGATTGTGCCCAGGGGCACTCTTGAGGCGCTCTTGGGGGAAAATAAACCTTGACATATGTGAGTTGTAGTTACTGGGATGTATAGTTCACCTATTTGGAATTGAACCAAATATGGCACACAGTGCTCCCACGACGAACAGAAAATATATATCAATAATTGGTTGGGGGGGGGGGGCGCCAAAATACTGTTTGCTTACCATTGAAAATTACCTAGGGCCGCCTCTGGTGAAACCATGGATATTGAATCAGTGAACAAAATAATAAGGTTGTATCTTAGTTGGGACTAACCAATAGCATTCAGGTCATATTGTATGGAGCTGGGGGAGTTAATTCATTTAAATGTATAGGTTAGTTTTTCCTTGAAGGCTCAGGATAGGTATTCACATGATCAATTTATTTAAACTATCTCAGCATAAGCCTTAAGACGGTGGTTCTCAACCTGTGGGTCCTCAGATGAGTTGGCTTTCAACTCCCAGAAATCATAACAGCTGGTAAACTGGCAGGGATTTTTGGGAGTTGTAGGCCAAAACACTTGGGGACCCACAGGTTGAGAACCACTGCCTTAAGATTTCTGCAACATTGCATCATTTGGAGAAAGCTTTCATAAATTAACAGTTACAACATGGAAGTGCTTCCCTGCCCTATGTTCTGTTTTCCCATGCCATCATCACAGATGGTTTTGATCAAATGATCCTCTTAGTTGGAAGCTTATTCAATTTATATAAATGCTTAATTTATATGCCTGGATTATGATGTATCTTCTAATGAAACTGGCAGCCGCGTTGCATAAATATAACTAAACACAATCTGAAGTAAATTGCCACGAAGGGTTATATATAGCCAAATGAAGAATGATGATGGCTCTGTTGGCTGAAGCCTTACCCAAATGCTGCTGTGTCATGGAATTTCAAGGCCAGGCTCACTCAGTATTCATTCATGAATTTCAGTGAATGGCCACAGCGCATCCCTTACCATGCACACACAGCTGTAATTCTTCAAACATCTCCCAAAACTGTCATCTTGCCAAGTGCAAGCATATTAAAAGCAATTAAGAAGCTATTTAGGGGTGTCTACTGACAGATGTCTTGAAGGCAAAATAACACCATGAATTTTAAAACAAGTACTACTGACAACTCTTTGATGGAAGGATGTTATATTAAACGATAGAAATTTGTTAAAATAAGCAGATCAATCTGCCAGATAAATTTTAAATGCTAGTGGCAGTGAAGCTAGAGATTTTTAAATGCTCGATTTTTTTTTGGGAAAAGCAATGTATTCAACAACATATTTCTAAAAATTAGTTATATATACTTCAGTTTTCTGTTGTTTATCAAATAAAATATTTTATTCAATTGAGCCCTGAGAAAGACTAAAATGGCATAATTCTTTTTGAAAAAAGGAGTGAACTATAAGCATCTTTGGTGTTTAAAGTAGAGAGGATTTTTTTCTGTGTCAGGAATGACTTGAGAAACTGCAGGTCGTTTCTGGTGTGAGAGAATTGTCCATCTGCAAGGACATTGCCCAGGGGAAGCCCGGGTGTTTTGATGTTTTACTATTCCTGTGGGAGGCTTCGCTCATGTCCCAGCATGGGGAGCTGGAGCTGATAGACAGGAACTCACTCCACTCTCCGGATTTGAACTGCCAACATGTCGGTCATCAAGTTCAGCCGGCACAAGGGTGTGAAATAATGGTTATTAACATGGAAACACCGCATTGTTCTTAAAATAAAAGGTGTCACCACAATCTTCATTACTGTCCC